GAAGGTCGTGCCAAGGACACTATAGTCCTTTCATCAGGTGATCATACTCTTCTTACTCAGTGTTTAACTACGGTCAGGATGTTGTCTTTGAACCCCACCATTTTTCATTTCCATTACTTGAACATGGATCTTTTTTCTATATTCATGAACATGCTGGTATAACCTTTGCTACTAGTAGGATAACAATTTTCTTATATTGTCTCTTTTAGTAGGAATATGGTTGTGCATGAATATCAATTGGCAAAATCATGTCAAGTCAGAACTCTACTGACATAACATCCTACTCCTACAGTTCTTGTGCACAAATAAATGTTTCAAATGGCACTTATATTTTTAGTTTGCCAATAACACAATTCTGTTATCAAATCACGAATTATTTGATCAATTTTGAATTGTGGACTGAATCAGTCTGAACTCGGAACTTTACGATGCAAATTATATTAATAGTAAAGCTGAATAACAAAATTCTTACTTAAGTTAGCACTTGAAGAAAGTGCTCTCTAGTTAGGAACTAAGTATTTAAGTTTTAGTATATCATTAAAGAAATAACAAATTTCTACCAAGTAATTTGAATCCATCAACTATTCCACTAATGAGGAAGTCCAAATTACCATCATAGCTGACTTACCTGGTTCTTCTCCATTTTTTTGTATACAATCACATTACTATTTTGTTGTAATCCTGAAATGAATCAAATTGTTTCATATGTGCCCTTGAATCACATGATTCTTCTCAGTTTTTATTAAAAGCATGCTCTCTATCATCAGAATCCTGAATGGAGTTGTGTGACACATATCATGAATCACTTGATATACAACCTTGCAAAATTCCACTTTATAATGAGAAAAATATTATTACCGTTCCTACTTTTTTCTGGTATTTATGATCTATTCATTTCTTTATAACCTTAAGACCTTAGCTATCAGCATTCCTGCTACAAAGAATTTCCATGAAGTTTATTTAACAACCAATGTATATGTGCAATGGATAGGTGAAAACATTGAACCATCTGAAATTGAAGATGCTGCAATGGGTAGCAATTTAATTCGAAATATTGTTGTCATTGGCCAGGTATGTAATAGAATTTGGTACACAAAATTGTCTTTCTACAGCACTTTTTGACATTTTCATAGTGAAAACATACCTTTTATATTGCATCACGTGTATTCCTTGACATCTGTAACAAAGGATAAACGCCGTCTTGGAGCTATTGTTGTACCACATAAGGAAGAGGTCCTTTCTGCTGCAAAAAAATTGTCTGTTGTGGATGCTGATGCCACTCAAGTTAGCAAGGAAAAAACAGCTAGCCTACTACATGACGAACTAGTTAAATGGTCAGGATACTACCTTGTTTTTTAATGAGTTTAACTAATACCAACTAAACAATATAGGCTAAAAAGTAATCCCAACTTTAGAAATTATGTATTAATAGACGCACAATTTCAATTTATACCGAAAATATAATTCCAATTCCGGTTTATTGACCAAAAATAATAGAGCATATTTTCAGATCTAGTCTTACATCTAATAATCATGGCAGCACTTGAGCCGGATTTCTTGCCTGAAAATTGATTGTTTTATTTTTGGTATATATTAAAATATTTTGGCTCAAATTTGTGATTTCTAAAGTGGATATTATGTTAGTCATTTTCCCTTTTTGCAAATCAAATTGATTGTCATATTTGTGGCTGCAACCATTGAAATAGTCATCGCACCTGATTGACATGTCGTGCTTGCTTGTTTCAACTAATCCAGGACGGCAGCTTGCATGTTTAAAGTTGGTCCTCTCCTTGTGATTGATGAGCCTTTTACGGTATGCATCATTGCCCGTCGAGCCATTCATTTCACTATACAAAGATGTAGCAATTGCTTAGGCATTTTGCTTTCTGGCTGTGCAGGTTGATAATGGTTTGTTGACTCCAACAATGAAAGTTAAGAGAGACAAAGTAACAGATCTGTATAAAGAACAAATAGACAATCTATATAATTGACTTTCCCCAAACGTATTTCCAAGTGTTCTTCCTCCAAAAACAGAGAATGATGTAATGTTGTTTTCAGTACTAGAAAATTTACTCTTTTTTAGTCAGATGTAATAATTAAACTTTTTTTAGTTGTATAGGCATTTAACGATTCTAGGTACCTATTAGGGAGTTGACTACACATAACACACATAAACCATTGAGGAGCACTGGTGGTAGGTGTAGAGAAGGGGTTGGACACTTGGACACAGTCCTACCAGTGGACTGCCGGTTCTGCTCCTCCATTTGATATGATTAGATCAGAACCTTAAATAGCATGCTCCTGATCTTAGCCATTGGGACTAGTAGTCATAATATATCCTAACACCTTGTTCTAGTTCTCCGTTTGACAAAACCAGACTAGGACCTTATGTAACATTATTACTGGGTTTGATCCAATCACGATTGATCAAAGCTGGAACTTTTTGAATCAGCTTTTGTTCCTGAACATCAATTATTCGTATTTGTTTTCTGCCTTGTTTCTTGTTCTTGGATAGTTGGATTATTCAACTCAATAGCCTTAAAGTGAACCTTTTTTTACTATAAAAATCTGGATTGAAGAGATTGATGAGCAAATCATCAATTGGATGAAAAAAAGCTTAAAATCCTGTCACTGCGATCCATCAGCCAGATTCGCCATCAGCACCTCTGAACCTTTTTTTACACAACAGTTAAAAAACAACTCCTTTTCGTTTTTTCTCTTGGTTCATACGTTCCAATCTGTTTTACACACACGGCGGTCTCCAGAACCCTCCCATGTAGATAAATTTTATTTGTCAAGTTAGGTAATAAACAAAAGATAGGAATATTTGTGTAACTGTGTAAGAAAGTTTAATGTCATAAATAAGAAAGGGAATATTTCTCTTGGTGCACCTTTATTTCTACTAAATGTAAAGGTACACCTAAACCCCAAACCCGAAACCCGAAACCCGAAACCTGAAACCCGAAACCCGAAACCCCAAACCCGAAACCCCAAACCCCAAACCCGAAACACCAAAACTGAAACTCCAGACCGTAAACCCTAAACCCTAAACCCTAACCCCTAACCCCTAACCCCTAACCCCTAAACCCTAACCCCTAACCCCTAACCCCTAACCCCCTAACCCTAAACCCTAAACCCTAAACCCTAAACCCTAAACCCTAACCCCTAACCCCTAACCCCTAACCCCTAACCCTAACCCCTAACCCCTAAACCCTAACCCTAAACCCCAACCCCCAACCCCGAACCTTGAACCCTGAACCCCGAACCCCGAACCCCGAACCCGAAACCCGAAACCTGTAACCCGTAACCCGTAACCCGTAAACACGTAAACCCGTAAACCCGTAAACAGTAAAACCGTAAAACCCTAAACTCTAAACCCCAAACCCCAAACCCCCATCCCGAACCCCAAACCCGAACCCCAAACCCGAAACCCGAACCACAACCGGAACCCGAACCCGAACCAGAAACCCCAAACCCGAAACCCGAAACCCGAAACCCGAAACCCGAAACCCGTAAACCCGTAAACCCGTAAACCCGTAAACCCTAAACCCTAAACCCCAAATCCGAAACCCGAAACCCGAAACCCCAAACCCGAAACCCCAAACCCCAAACCCGAAACCAGAAAACCGAAAACCGAAACCTGAAACCCGAAACCTGAAACTAGAAACCCGAAACCCGAAACCCGAAACCCGTAACCCGTAACCCGTAACCCGTAAACCCGTAAACCCGTAAACCCCGAACCCCGAACCCCGAACCCCGAACCCCGAACCCCGAACCCCGACCCCGATCCCCGAACCCCGAACCCCGAACCCCGAACCCGAACCCGGAACCCGGAACCCGGACCCGAACCCGAACCCGAACCCGAAACCCGAAATCCAAAACCCGAAACCCGAAACTCGTAAACTCGTAAACCCTAAACCCTAAACCCTAAACCCCAAACCCCAAACCCCAAACCCGAAACCCCAAACCCGAAACCCGAAACCCGAAACCCGTAACCCGTAACCCGTAAACCCGTAAACCCGTAAACCCTAAACCCTAAACCCTAAACCCCAAACCCCAAACCCCAAACCCGAAACCCGAAACCTGAAACCCGTAACCCGTAACCCGTAAACCCGGAAACCCGTAAACCCTAAACCCTAAACCCCAAACCCCAAACCCCAAACCCCAAACACCAAACCCCAAACCCCAAACCCCAAACCCGAAACCCGAAACCCGAAACCCGAAACCCGAAACCCGAAAGTCGTAACTTCAAACCCGAAAACCGAAACACGAAACACCAAACCCGAAACACGAAACCCGAAACCCGAAACCCGAAACCCGTAAACCTGTAAACCCGTAACCCGTAAACCCTTAAACCCTAAACCCTAAACCCTAAACCGTAAACCTTAAACCCTAAACCCTAAACCCTAAACCCTAAACCCTAAACCCTAAACCCAAACACCAAACCCCAAACCCGAAACCCGAAACCCGAAACCCGAAACCCTAAACCCTAAACCCTAAACCATAAACCCTAAACCCTAAACCCCAAACTCCAAACCACAAACCCCAAACCCCAAAGCCCAACCCCGAACCCCCAACCCCGAACCCCGAACCCGAAACCCGTAACCCGTAACCCGTAACCTGTAACCCGTAACCTGTAACCCGTAAACACGTAAACACGTAAACCCGTAAACCCGTAAACCCGTAAACAGTAAAACCGTAAAACCCTAAACTCTAAACCCCAAACCCCAAACCCCAAACCCCCATCCCGAACCCCAAACCCGAACTCCAAACCCGAACCCCAAACCCGAAACCTGAACCACAACCAGAACCCGAACCCGAACCCGAAATCCGAAACCCGAAACCCGAAACCCGTAAACCCGTAAACCCGTAAACCCTAAACCCTAAACCCTAAATCTGAAACCCGAAACCCGAAACCCGAAACCCCAAACCCCAAACCCCAAACCAGAAAACCGAAAACCGAAACCCGAAACCCGAAACCAGAAACCCGTTGCAATATAAAAACATGCCATAATTTGTGTCACTTTATTAACAGTGTTGCACTTGTTGTTGACAATCTTGAAATGTACACTCGAATCGCAAAAACATTGCACTCTCGTGCAGATGTAAGATTTGTTATCTTACTTTGGGGAGAAAATTCAAGTATCACAAGTGAAGTAATAGATGGATTCCCCACATATAGTTACACAGAGATCTTGGATTTCGGGAATGATAGTCGTACAACATTTCTTCAATCACAAGAAGCGAGTAAGTGGTTTTACTAGACAAGTGATTTCTTAAGCCGCTATTGTTATTAGATTTATAAATGACCACATAATTGTTCATTCTTTGACATGTTATATGTATGGATACTCTATAAGGTTAATCCTCTAATATTACAAAAATAATGATCACTAACGGAACAGTGACTACTATTTTAAATATATCTCTTGTTCAGAATGAAATGATAATGAGTGGAAAGATTATTTAATATAAGTATATAACTAATTCAATTACAGGGCATCAATATCTATATGAACCAATCAGCTCTAGTGATGTAGCTACACTTGTTTATACTAGTGGAACTACCGGCAATCCAAAAGGTGTTATGCTTACGCATTCAAATTTTCTTCATCAGGTTTCTACCTTTTCATTTTTTTCTATTAACCTTATATCACGTGGGAAATACAATTATTGACCTTAATAAAAACTAACTATAGTTTTTGAAAGTTGTATCATTTAAAAGTTAGTGCATTGGCCATCAAGAATCAAGAGTAAAACCATGCATCAATATACTTTTGTGCATGAACTTTGAGTGTTAATTACTCTTAGATATATACATGATATTGGTTTTAGGATCTTGTAAAATTTTCATTTTCAATTTACGAAAATGTTATTCAATTAGCTGATGCTTGACTAATTAATATTCTAGGAGCTCGTAATAATAATGTGCATGGAACTGATTGTATATTTCTCTCTTGCAATCAATACAATTATGCATGTTCTAATGCATGAGAGATACAATAGTTTAGTAGTATTGGGATCCTTGAGAAGGTATTCATACAACTAAAGGGAAAGAGAAAGACATAAATTCCCTAGTAACTCTCATGGTCAAGGAAGTACTAAGGGCTCCTTTTAGTCGCTCTCATGATCGAATAACAATCCAAAGTCATGCAAAAAAGAGTAACCAACCAAATAATCTCCTACCTCATCTCATCCTCACGGAGTTAGTGTGTGTGGATGTATCAAATAGGACCCTACAAGTCTCCTTGAGGGTCCAAATAAACAACTAAGAGCAATGCGGCCATCAATTTTTTTTTAGAAGAAATAGGCTTAAATTGATAACACATCATTCAAATAGTAGGTAAACCGACAAAAGGACTCTTGAAAACTGTCGTCCCTCGAACCAGACTCAGAGTTTATCACCTTGATAGAAGCAATATAAACCGCTGATCCATTAATGGGCACAAATGAGCCAAAGATGGTTAACGCAGTCCTTCCATCACCCATATCCAAATCCATTGTCTTACAGCAGAAAACAAAATACAAACGAAAGTAAATAGCATGATCCAGAAAATTAAAATAAATAAAAGCAAAAAAATAACAGTCTTGTCCCAGCTTTCCGATCACCACAATCCTCCACTTCCGTGGTGGCGGTTCAGGAGGAGGTCGGACCAACAGTACTGCATCTTCTTCCTCATTCCGCTTCTTGTCGGTCAAACTCCCTTTCATACTTTCATGTTGCCAAACGCCAATCCTCAACTCTTTGAGTCGTGAAGCGATGGACAAGCAAGCCATGACTGTCCACAATATGCAAATTAGAGAAACCAAAGCAAAAACCTGCACAACCAGCACACAATAGAATCCATCGCCTCTCTTCGTCGAGCCCCTATCTGTCTCACCAAGGCCGACCTCCCTCCGTCGTTCTTCCATCAAAATAGCCGTAAGATTGGGACGCCTAAACCGCAGCACTCCTTCCAGCCGTCTGCTAATCATCCTCACCGAGCTTCGCAAACCAAAGAAGAAGAAAACGCCGCTCCTCGACTTATGTCGATAGCGGAAAAGTGACCCTAGCGGCTAAAAGCCCTAGGACGACAACACCGGTGCCGTAATCGCTGGGCGATCACCACCGGATGAGCTGAAACTAAGCGTTTCCTAATCGGAAACCCTAGAGAGATGTTATTGCGGCCATCAAATTCTTAGAAATTCAAAGAAACATTTTCACAAACACATTGTGTGCATAGTAATATTTCTCAAATTCCACCAAACTGAACCTCAAAACCTATGAAATCACATTGTTGGGTGATCCCTTTCCACCCCCAATTCCTAATTTTACTAATCACTCATGGTTGAATACAAATCCACACAAGATATGCAACCCATAATCATGAAATGAAGTAGATGCGCAAGATAGCAAACATATAGAGACAATGTAATCTAATATATTAAATGCAATAAGAACAATGATTTGATGTAAGGGAAATTTAGAAATGTAATATAAAAGATGGTATTTATACAATAGAAAAATCGGGGAAACGTCGGGAGGGAACGTCATCCTTATAGGATGAATGCAGGGAGGAACATTGACTAGAACGTCGTTCTTGTAGCAATGATGGTAGAAATTTTGTTCCCTTCCGACGTTCCTCCACCCAAAACCAAAAAAAAAATCCGAGGAGTGAAACTGTGAAAGGAGGAACGCTGGGGAGGGACAACGTTCCTAAGGATGGTTCCGACCGAAACTCCTATGATACTTCCATTTCTTACTTTTTGTGCCCCGCTTCATATTTAAGGTCTTCAAATCATTCATCTATGCTCACGAGACTCCTCCAAATACTCGTTTTCACCCCCCAACGATGCTCAAATCATCCCCGTGGTTCCTGCAAATAAAAATATTGCAAAAATAAAGCGAAAAGGGAAAGAAATCACCAAAAGTTGAGAAATAGAGACCAAAGTATATGAGGAAGTGTTAGATGTTTTCACACCTATCACTTCCCTACCAAAACAAGAAGTACTATTTTTATTGTTTAATACACTAAGAGTTTGATTCTATACTTTGTTAGAATTGAGAGATGTGAGGTATGGATGAAAACAAAATAAAGAAAGAACAGAAGAACTATATTATAATATTACAATGATGCGATGTAGATCGATATTATTTATTTCTCTTGTTTTCATTTTATTAGAAATATCCTTAGGGTTATTCCCTATATGGCTTGTTCCCTAATAGGACATACATTTGCATGTATCCACAATCGGATGGGACTTGACTATGTTCCTTTTATAGATTTTGAATCTGCGAGATTTTTTACCTTTTGCACCTGAGGATATATTCTTGACAATGCTTCCTCCTTGGCATGCGTACGAACGTTCTGCTGAATATTTTGCCCTCTCTTTCGGATGCAAGTTAGTATATACCACAGTAAAAAACATGAAGGTATAATTTCGATTTGTTAATTTCACTGAATTTCATCTTTCCTAGCATTAATTACTCAAATATATTAGTATGGATATGACATTGTCATGGTCAACCCTCTAATTGTACAACCCTTGACAAAATATGTTTTTCACTTTAAAGACTCTTTATTCTCACTTTGAGATCATTATGCATGTTGTGATGACTAGTAACTTAACAATTGACAAAACATGACCATGTTTACGTGTGAAATATATTGAAACACATCGGGACAAGGTGTTCTCCTAGACCCCCCCCCCCCCCAAACACAAGTTTATATAACATAATATTCCAAAAGTTGAAATGGGCATCATTTAGAACAATTTTAATTAAACTTAAAAAATATATTTCTAAAATAGATGTTGGTGGATGATTTTTTAGATAATACTATATCTATTTTAAATTTATTTGCAGAAATGCTTACTTTCATACTTCATATGTGATCATGCTCATATTTTCAAGTGTTCATTTACATCTCATCACTATACATATAATGATCTCATTCGAGGTGAGATTAAATAACTTATGAAGTGAAAAATCTATCACGTCAAAGGTTGTACAATTAGAAGTCATACTTTTAAAAGTAAAAATGATGTTATTTAGCACTCATTAAGGATATCGTAGAGTATTTTTTAAGTGAGAGGGTGTAAGTGGTAAAACATCAAATTTCAATGGAGGTCAATGATATATTCTTACTTAGATGTTCTACCCAATTTGTAATTTTGAGAGTCTTTTATTAATTTAAGGAATGAATATTTCTAAATTCTGATTCATTTCATTCATATTTTAGGATGATTTAAAACATTTTAAGCCGCAATACCTCTTATCAGTTCCTTTGGTATATGAGTCACTATACAGGTAAAGATACACCATTAAATTTTATTTATTTCAGTGATGAATGTTTATACATATATAATTTTCTAAAGTTTTAATTGAGTGCATTAGTAGCACCTTTCAATCTAACATATATATTATGTCTATTATATTATTTCATACGGAGTATGAACTTACGTATTTAGTCAAAATAAAAAGGCTAAAGTCAAAATAAAAAGGCTAAAGTGTCAAATAGACCCCTCTATCCTTCTGAATTGCTCAATTCCCCCCCGAACTAAAAAAACTCCAATTGGCACCCTGAACTCAATAAAAAGATTCAAATTTCACTTCTTGCAGGTCACAATCCGGTCACTGCCACGTCACCCGGTAGGGTTCCAACTGTGCATGTGACGTGGCAACTTAAGTGATCAAATAAGCCCTTCAACCTGATTAAATCGTTCAATTCACCCCCTCAACTTTTTAATAACATCAAAATTATGAAAAATAGAAATAAAAATAAAAATAGAAAATTAAAAATAGAATAAAAAATAAGTCGATAATATAAAAATATAAATATGAAATATTTTTTGGGAAAATCGCATATATGGTCCCTCAGTTATCCACGAAATTAAAATCTCAGACCTGTATTTATGAGATTGTAAATGTCACCCCTCAATTGTCCAAAATGCTGTAAATGTGGTCCTTTTGAGGGGTAAAATATACAATGTGGGCGAGAGTACATTTGACCACTTAAAGGATCACATTAACAACAATTTGGACAATTGAGGGGTGATATTTACAATCTCAGAAATAAAGGTCTGAGATTTTAATTTCGTAGATAACTGAGGGACCATATATGCGATTTTCCCATATTTTTTTTGGTATATTCAAAATAAACAAATAAAATATAAACAAAAAAACTAATTCTTATATATAATGAGTAAAAAAGACTTCAATATATTTACAATAAATATTATAAATATGTAGTTCCTATTTTTATATTTTAATTCTTATATATGAGTAATTTTTATATTACTATAGATATAAAAAAGTGTAATTAGTAACTTAAAAAATAGTTACATACAAATTGTATATTTATTTTTAGTATATTTTTAAATAAATTTAAAAATATGAAATGCAAAAATACAAATGGATAATTTAAGCATAATGCTTCATATAAATTATCAAACCAAAAACCAAAAATTTGTGTCATATACAAACCATTAGATATAATACATAAAATAAAAATTTAAATATTTTTGGTAAAAATAAATTATTTATTTCTTATATGAAATATATGTAGTAGTTATAAAATATGGAAATAAAGTTAAAGAATATTTTTAGTTTATATTTATTTTTTATTTTTTATTTACCGTAAACGATAAATATTTCACATTAATATATTTTTTATTTTCAACATGTATTTTATTTATAATTTTATTTATTATTAATTATTTATTATTAGTTATTTTTTATTTTTTTTTTAAATTTTGACATATTTTAGGGTTGAGGGGGTAAATTGAGCGATTCAGTCGGTTTCATGGGCTTATTTGACCTCTTAAGTTGTCACATCACATGCACAGTTGACACCTTACCGGATGACAAGGTGGTGACCGGATTGAAACATGCAAAAAGTGAAATTTGGATCTTTTTATCTAGTTCAGGGTGTCAATCGAGCTTTTTTGGGTTGAGGGGGCAAATTGAGCAACCCAGAAGGGTACAAGGACCTATTTGACTCTTTAGCCAAATAAAAATAGTAAGACCTGTGTTTTATGTACTTTATGCATATGACAGATGCATTCTTTTTCTTTGTGGTGTAATGGTGCATCTTTGTTTTACGTACTTGCAGCGGAATTTTGAAGCAAATTAATAGAAGTGGCCCTACTGAGAAGCTCATTGCCTTGTTTTTTTTAAACATCAGTTTGACATACAAGGAGGCTAAGAGGATATATGAGGTTTACCATTAACATTGTAGTTCTTTCAATTCGGATGTGCTTGAATTTCATTAATAATTACGGTGTTAAACTTTGGTTAGCATCAACATTCATATTCTTACAAATCTCCAGCTTTAACCAAAATGCTGCAAACTATGTGTGTAAATTGTAAAATGGTGTACATGATTTTCACTGATATTTTGTGTTTCAGGGGAGATGCTTAACAAAAGACCAGAAACAACCTTCTTATCTTATTTCAGCTTTAGAGTGGTTACGGACTAGAGCAATTGCTGCACTATTGTCTCCACTGCATCTGGTGGCGAGGAAAATAATTTATAGTAAATTTCACACAAATATTGGCATATCTGAGGTTTGATTGATATAGCATACATTGTTTAAAATAATAACATACTTCCTCGTTCCGAAAAGGTTCGCCAAATTGACTTTTCTCGGTCAATGACAATCAACTTTGACCAGTGATATTTTTTAATACGAAAATTATTTTGAATATGAAAATTATATAAAAATGTTCCTTATTCAAAATATTTCCATAAAAGTATAAAATTTATAAAATTACATACAAATATAATAATTAAAATTAATGTCCAAAGTTTGTCATCAATGATGACCAAGAAAAGTCAATATGACAAACCTTTTCGGGACAGAGGTAGTACCATATTATAAGTTCAGTGTTCATAAGTTACAATACTACCACGCATGTGTCACCTCCTATTTTAACTGTGCCAAAATTATTACCAATTTTGACCTAGCACAAGATTTAATAAAGTGAAATTGCGTGGTTTAGATGTTTTTGAAGAGGGAGAATTATTTTGAACCAAATATTGATTTCCACGAAAGAAATGGACATTAATTTTGGGACAAGCAAAAAGTATTACAAAGTGAAAAGATAATCTATGGTGAGAGTTTCGATCTTATAGCTTTTAAAGAAATTTGTGATATATGGTGCATTCCAATGGGCTTCTTATTTTGTCGGCAAAACCTTTCCATATTTCATTCTTTTGTAAAATGAGTTACATAAAAATTGAATATATTAGCGATGAGCCTAAAAATCAAGACCTAGCGTCCATACTAATTAAATAGCCAACATTACAATATTATGGTAAACTAATAGTGTTTATTCGATATTCATGTATGATCCCAAGATGTTTGGGAGAACTAAGAAGCACCTTCAAGATCACTTCTAAAACTAGTAGATTGGGTCATAATTTTGTGCATTCAAATGATGACATATAAGTTTATCTCATTAGTTTGAAGCAATGTTCTAAAAGGCGCTAGGTGCTAGGCGGGCGCCAGCCCAGCGCCTAGCGCCTAGGCGCCTAGGCGGGAACTAGTCGGAGACATAGAAATTACATTTTTATCTATAATTTTGCATAAATATGATAAGTAATATTGTATTTTTGTGTGTATAAAATACATATACACACATACATGAATGATAATAACTAATCACTTTTCATTATGTTATAAATGCAAATAATAATAAAATTTAGGTATATATAAACATATATAGTTTTTATCTTAATTGACAACTTCATTTCTTTATATCCGTGACTAAAGTTAAAATATGTGTATCACTTAGAAAATTAAAATTAAAAAGTAAAGTAATGTTCGGCAAATCTAGACGGTCTACGTGGCCGATTAGGCGCTCCATGCGGACAACTAAGTGTCATAGGCGGCCGGCTAATTCACATATACGGCAAACCAATTAGTTGGAGCGCCTAGACAAAAATCAGGGCGCCCGGCCTCCGCCTAGCCTAGGCAGGGACTAGTTGGACGCCTAGAACAATTTTTAGAACAGAGGTTTGAAGCACATGTTATGATTTGAGACAACTTGACATTAGAGGTTGGTCTAACACCTGATTTTGGTGCTTAGATCAAAGTTAATTTGCTAGTGGAAATCTGAACGAATTTATTGTGTGGTGAAATCACACTCATCTTTCCAACAATTACAAAACCGGTAAATTAAGTTCAAATCAAGAAATATTATGAAGTTAAAGTACAAATATTATTTCATCAATTCTACACAATTATTTTTATACTTCTATTTTAAAATTTTGGGTGTACATGAACACTTTGGAACCAATATGGGTCCACCACTACTTGATATAGTTGTGGACAAGATGTTATCGTCTTCTCAAAACGAGAAACTCTTTAAAAATAAAAGTGAGAAGAGGCATATGAAGTAAAAGTGAGACAACATTATCCAACATAATTTTATCTATAAGGCTCCGTACTTTATTAAATACGGGCTTGAAATTTGTAAATAAAATATGACATAGACACATAAGAGAACGAGTCATGCACCAAAAAGTTTTGATGAAAAGAATTGAAATGCATTGTTCTTGAGAGGAAACTGATATGGTGCATGAATCGATGCCCCTAAAAATCTCTAGGGGTAATGAGTAACAAAATATAGATGTCCTTTAATTTCAAAAAAAAAAACAGACGTTAATTTATTAACCACCTTGGTAATTTATAGGCCGGGTTAAGCGGAGGTGGTAGCCTTTCTTCTCATGTTGACAAGTTCTTCGAGGTTTGGTGCTTTTATCGTTATGGCTACTAAAGTTATGTTCTTAGTTCTACCTTCTCATTTAAAATTCATTATCATACAGGCAATTGACCTAACGATACAAAATGGATATGGTTTAACAGAAACGTCTCCTGTTGTTGCTTCTAGGCATCCAAACTGCACGGTAAGTTCACACATTGAATTGAAAATTTGCACTCAAGTCCTCCTCTGTTCACCCCACTGAATGTATGTTTTTGCTTAAATCTACTTTACTTTATTTTATGTTGTTGTTAGACTAAGTGAGGAGGAATCCTACAAATTTACTCTTCCCTCAAACTGAGAACAAATGCATAACTCACTTGTAGGAACTATCATTTCCTTCTATTCTTTTGTTTCTTTTTTGAATTGATGCTTCCTAACCTTGCCTACCTCCCTTCACCAATAGATAATTGAGCCTTGGTCTACCGCTACCAATCTAGCACCTATTTTTTTTGCATACTACTCCGTATTAAATTTTTATATGTTGCTATATCTTTCAATGTGAGTTAATCGTTTCCTATATAAATTGTTATGTTTAGTGTGATCGTTAAAAATTTTATGGTTACAGATCCTTGGCTCAGTTGGAGTTCCTGCCCGATACACAGAAATAAAAGTTGTAGATGTTGAAACAGATAAGGTCCTCCCCCATGGTTCAAAAGGCATTGTCAAAGTCAAGGGACCGCAAGTTATGAAGGGCTACTACAAGGTCAGTCAAACGTAACTAACCAAACAAATATTTTGACAATATCTCTTTTAAATACCTCTTTTTAATCTTATCTTTTGACAATATCGGTGTTTTGAATTTTTCATTCCAACTCTTCGGCTTTATCATATTTGAAGCAACATTAGATCATATGCACATATTTAGTTTTTGTCATGTTTTGTTGCTTATACATAGATCAATTGTTAACCATATACTTTTTCTAGTTAAATGTTTTATTCATTATGAGCGTTCCTTACATGTTTAGAATCCAATGGCAACAAAGCAAGCCATTGATGAGAATGGATGGCTAAATACTGGCGATCTTGGATGGATTGTTCCTCATCATTCGATAGGCCCGTCCCGCAATGCTTCAGGTGTTATTGTTCTTGAAGGTCGTGCCAAGGACACTATAGTACTTTCATCAGGTCATTGTTTAACAGCGCCAAGGCTTTTATATTTGAAACTTTAAAATAAAGTTTATTTAACAACCAATATATATATATATATATACATGCAATGGATAGGTGAAAACGTTGAACCATCTCAGATTGAAGAAGCTGCAATGAGTAGCAATTTAATTCAACATATTGTTGTCATTGGTCAAGTACGTTATAGATTGATATTTTATTTCACTAACATATTTTGACTAGTTCAGAGTGAATACACACTACCGGCATTCATTACATTTTCTGTAATTTTTAGGATAAACGACGTCTTGGGGCCATTGTTGTACCACATAAGGAGGAGGTACTTTCTGCTGCAAAAAGATCATTTGTTGTTGATTCTGATGCCACCGAAGTTAGCAAGGAGAAAACAACCAAACTAATACGTGAAGAACTAAAAAAATGGTAAGGCTTTTATGTTAGCAAATCTTTTAATTGTTTATCACCTTTTAGTTTTAAGGGCTTGTTTGCTCTAAGAATTTCGTAGACAAAGGGTGGGAGGTTTGAGTCTTATTTTATGAGTTTATGTTTATTTGATAGTTTATGGCTATAAATAAATACTCCTTTCATCACATATAATTTAGCCAAGTTCAAGCGACATATGGAATAATAAAGTAAAAAAATTGTAATGGACCTTTGTGCAAAAGAGGGCATTATTAATAGCCAAATATTAATTACGTAAAAAGAAAAGTGACTAAATTTTGAAACAATCAAAACAAGAAAGTTGATTAAATTATAAGGGACAGAGAGAGCATATGATTAGTTAAATCATATATTAAATTTTATCTTCTCTATGTGAAAATAATTTAAAAATAAGTACCAACCGGATCATTCCTTTTACTGTCAAATCCCTTAACCAAAGTTTCAAAAACTGAACTACACAATGCAAGTAATGGACTAACCATTTGTCTCTTGCTTACCTTTGTTCAGGACCACGAGTTGCACTTTCAAAATCGGGCCACTTCTCATTGTTGATGAGCCTTTTACGGTAAAGAGTATTGCAAGTTGAGCCATTCACTTTCCAATTCAATAAATTTGTGGTTCGCTTAGAGATTTTCTTTCTCGCTATGCAGATTGATAATGGTTTATTGACTCCAACAATGAAAGTCAAGAGAGATAAAGTAGCAGATCTATACAAAGAGCAAATAGACAAATTATATAAGTGAATTTTTAAAACTCAAATGAATATGTTTGTAACACTAAATTAAAGCTTTAATGACAACTTAATGGCATCTTAGAAATATTAACTATTGTGGGTGTCCATGCTATGTAATAAGTGCATTTGTTTAACGCATGTTAGCCATTTGATCCAACAAAAATCACAGATTGTTTATCAATCATTAAAAATGCATATAAAGCATTAACCACATCAAATATTATAAATTAATATATAAATCTATTAACTATAAAAATTAACTATGCCGCACAATTTGAATTTTCATGAAAATAGTATAAATCAACACAAAAGTATATATATAATTTTTCATGAACAATAACATAATCTTAGAACTACAGATTGTAAATAATTTTTTCATACCAATAATCCAACATCTAAATGCCATTTCTTTAATTTTTCACTTTCAATCATTTATATAATATTTGATTCTTCATGAAGTTTTATCAATTACACTTTCAAAATAAAAGAAATATTACAACTACAAGGTTCGTACTCCAATATAAAACTGGCTGGATAAGGAAAAGAATTACTCACTGGTCGGTACAAAAGTAATGGTGTCAAATTTAAATTGCTCGTTTGGTAGATAGGAAAAGTTTAGTGTAAATGACCCATTTTGTAGTTTTAGATTAATGTATACGAAGTATTTTGAAACTAATAATGGAACAACGTAACCTCCTTATGTTCAATATGAGTGATATTCATTGATACTTGAATCATTTGCAACCTCCTCATATTCAATATGTAATATCCATGGATAGTTGAGTCATCGGCAACCTCAATAATATTTATTTCTATCTAGAAAAATGCCCCTTATGTTGGGGAAACATATGTATTTTTTATGATACCGAACACCAAATATCAGTACAAACTAAATATGTTGGATTGACCAAAATACGAAGTATTCTACAATCAGCCTAAAAGATAACTTGTGCTGTCAAATAGAAACACAACAACTGATTGCTGATGATTGCTACCACCACTGTTGAATTGCCACCGGTCTTAGGTCGATAGCCAAGTTTGTTGACCGCCATCACAAACCCCAAATGATCATACCTGATGACCGCACAATATATGTGAAAATCTGTAACTAATGATGTTAAATAAGGTTCAGAAGTTATGTCAAGAAAAACTGTAACTAATGCTGTCAAGTTACATTGCTTCCAACATGTAACTCCTCCATTCGTAATGAAAAATCCCGCAATCAATAAAAGAAATGCACTCAAAGACATTTTTATAGTTGTATATAATTCAGAGTAATAAATCACTATACGAAATAACGGAATTATAACACAGATTCGTCACACATTGACACAAAAATTTGGCACGACTTTGTGCCAAATAAATTGTGACAAAATAAATTTGATAATGATTTTAAAGGGTCTGTGAATCCATTCTCTATGCGTGTGAATTTCGTGCCAAAGTTGTTGTTACAACCTATTTGGCACAATTTTGTGTAAGAAAATCAATGCCAAATCCATATCTACAGTGGATAATACAGAATCTCATGTGTCCTTGGACTATTTACATATCTTGTTATCTTTGATTTATCCCTTTAAAAAAGATACGTGTAACACACTCCCTCAGTCTCATAGTGTAAGATACATGTGAGTTTAGTGACCCACATTTCTTTAAGAAAATAATGGATAAAATTATTGTTGTACACTTCAAGCCTCCAAAAAGTAAGTCATGACCCACAAAATCTAAAAGATGAAATGATAGAAAAAAGAATAAAGTGAGAAAGTAAGAATTTAGTAAAGTTCAATTCAAGAAAGTGTGTTTTATAAACGGGAACATAGACAATACTTCTTTCTCTTTTTAGTAAATACTAGTATAGTATTTGTTCGATGTTCGATGCATAAATTTGTTTGTAAGTTAAATACTATCGTAATAAGTATTTGACGGTAAAAATGTGTTAAACTGTGTAATTAAATTGCGAAAAAATTGATAGTAACAATCCCAACTATTGGCGGTCTGCTCATAATAATTCCAACTATCGATTATTTCAGAATAATCCCAACCTTAGGGACCTTCCGCCAATAATGGTGCGACGTGACCGGCTACCTGTTTAGCCAATTAAAAAAAATACCATATTATAATAATCCGAACTATCATCTGTCGACTTCTGATAGACCCAAAAAAAATCCATAAATAAATAGAAAGGGTTAAAAAGATTATAAAATTTAATTTTACTTGATTAAATTTTTTAGGTAGCTTGTAGAATTAAAAAATATAAAATATATAATTATAGAATATGTAAAAACTTATATGAATTACAAAGTTAAAATTTCATAACATGTAAGACATTTAAAAGGATAGTAAAATGGTCAATATAAAAACTTTAAAGGATAAAAAAAATTCAAATTAAGTACGAATCCAAATTACAAAAATGAAAACCTTGATTTTCAAAATTAAGAAAGTGAAAAAGATTAAAATACTAATACTTATTTTGAAAATATTTAAAAAAACTTAAAAGCTAGTCATCCTAAAATATTAAATCATTTTAAACTAGTTAAAAATTAATAAAAACTGTTAATTGTAAAAGAATTCAAAAATGGTTATTTATCAAAAAAATCTGAGAATAAAAATAAAAAATGAAATGTAATTTTTTTATTTCTAAATTCAACACGTTTTTATATTTCGTTAAAATTTCATTAATAAAATTTAAAATCTAAAATTTAAATAATTGTTTCTACTTTTTGTAAAAAAATTAGGTTGAAGTTGGGATTATTAAAAGAAGAGTGAGCATAGTTCAGATTATTTATAGAATAAGCTTAATTTCTATTAAAAATTGACCTGTTATAGCAGGTAGTAACCGATCATGGACCATTATTGGCGGATGGTCCATATAGTTGGGATTATACAAAAATAATCAATATTTGAGATTATTATTAGCGGACCGGCAATAGTTGGGATTATTATTTTCAATTTTATAGATCACAATAATATTTAAAAACAAATTGCAATATATAAGTTGATATGTGATAGAATGTAAGTGATGGCTTCACCGACCTCGGGGTGGTAAAACCGAGGGACAATTGGAGAAACGCTAAGTATACACCAAGTAAGAAATTTGATAGAGTAACATCAAGGTTGAAAATAAAGAATGTGATCATTTTCCACAAGTTGGAAAGTGATATTTATAGTATACAAGAAAATACTTGGGGAATAAGTAAAAATAATTGCCCCGCTAGTCTAATGACACATGTAAAGCTAATTGGAGAGATAATCTAATTAATTAGTATTGGCGTACTGGACTAGCTGGATAGGCCAGATGTGTAAGTCTGACAGCTAGCATAATCCTTGATGTTTGGGATATCCAAGTGTTGAAATGTCTAAGTCCACATTCTTTGAATGAGGTTCTGAGCTCGGTTGCAGAGCTCGAGCTCGAATGTAATGTGTTAGCTAAGAGGTTAGTAAGGTCAGTAACCTTAGTTCATAATATGAAACATGAATGTCTTTATTGATTTTTAAACTCGTAGTGTGGTAGTGGGTTTGGAGCTCGACCATAGTGCTGGAAATGTGACCAACTCCCGACAATAAATTATATTTTTTTTTGTTTTTCATCTCTGTAATGTGCATTGTTTTGTTTGTAGTCCATGTCTAACTCCAAAATAACTCCATTTAGACAAACATTGTTGTTGGTTCATAAACCAACTATATGGTTTTAAATTTGTTTTTTATAACTTTTTTATGCTAATATGAGAGTTAAAAAATCGAAAAAATAATTATTCGTATTTTATAAATATGTATTAAAACCCTTCTAAAAATTAAAATTAAATAATGTTTGAATATAATGACAAACAATTAGAGGAAATCCATTAGTCATCATAGTTTCATTGTAACACAGAGGTTGTTATGATCCGTGATGAGCTAAAAAAAACCAACTCAACTTTCAAAGATGAAACAATTTAGTTTGCAGGGATATAAAACAAAATATAATATATTTATAGGGACTAAAAATGTGTTCAAACCAAACAAAAACTATATGTTTCTTATTCTTGAAATAATTTAATTTGAATAATCATTGCAGTTATGACTTATTTAATTTAAAATATAAACATTAACTATATATATGTCCAAAGAAAACTGAAAACTAGAAAACCAAATTGAAATCTCCGATTTCAAAACCGATTTTGAATCCGGTTTGATTGGGAACCTTATGTATAGCTAAAATGTAAAAAAGAGAGAGGAGAAGACTTGTACTCTATTAGCCTCAATTTGATTTGCAAAATTTTCTTTTTTAGTGATTTAAAAATTTGTCTATATTTAGTGTGAACCGCTGAATAAAATCACTAATTATTCATTCACGTAAATGTTTCACAAAGATGACACTTTATTTCTGAGAATCACTGAATCGGTCGTACTTTTATATGAAAGGACGTTAATTAAGTGATCACCTTTAATAGAAGGAGACTAAAATTATGACACAAATCTTTGCTTTCAATTAACCTTGAGACCTTTGTAGCATCTCTTTGAACATGTAAATATTTCTCATGTTCCAAAAGGTTGAATCCCCAATTCTTATGGGGTTTTCACGCCTGTTACGACCCCGACAGAGTATATGGGAGCATGTAAATTACCGCGGAGACTCGATGTGGGTCACTTGTTCCTAAGCGTTTCTCGTCTCTACTTGTTCCTAAGTGAAAACAAAAAATCTATTTGTACCCACTTTTGTACCAACCCCCCTATTTTGTCTGTGCACACAGGCAATTCGTTAAGAAGAAGGCAACATCTTGTCTGTGTTTGTTTGTGTACACAGACAAAATAAGGGGTGAGTACAAATGTGTGTTCAAAAGTGGTTACAAAAGTGGAAAAGAGTATAAACATGATTCGTTCGTTTCTTTAATGGTTGTGAGACACTGAGAGTGTACTCAATGACCAGAATTAAAAGGGGCTCTATAGCTCGGAAACGTCGAACAAAAATATGACTGGTGAAAGTTGTGGTGGTGACGACGACGGCCGATGGACGGGCAGTCACTGGGGTCGGTGGGCCGGAGTCACCGTGACCGGAGCGGCGGTGCCGGTGACAGAGGCGGAGGTGCCGGTGACGGTGACAGTGCTGGGATTGACGGTCACAAATGTGGTGGTGGCTACAAAGAAATATTATTAAAATAATAAATATATGATTAAATATAGAAAAATGGCAAAAGTATTAGTTGTGGGGTTTTGAAAGACAAATATATGACCATTTTACTTTTTTCCAAAAAAGTAACCGATTATAAACGCCTCTCTCTCCCCCACATTTACTCTCACGCACAAATCTGCGCAATTGGATCTGGCCATTTGAATCTACGCAAGATAGCTTCTCCATCTCCGCTCAAAATAGCCGTACCTCCATCTCTGTCAACCAGAGCTGCATCTCCATTGCGGCAAGCCAGATCCGCACCTCCATCGCCGCACGCCGGAGCTGAACCACCATCGCCGCATGCCGGAGCTGAACCACCATCACCGCACGCCGGAGCCAAACCGCAGCGCCTCCATCATCGCCACCGTTCGACCGCCGCACCTCCATCACCAAAGTTACTTCTTCTCTTCTCGCGAGATCTACATCTACTTCTAGTAGACTGTTGCCGTCGATCTTCACCTATCCGGTTGGCAAGGTTTCAACGGCATTCGATTTCGATCCCAGGGCGGCGAAAACGGGTTGGCAGCTAAGGTTACTGGCGGAGCTTGTTGGATGGCGGTTGGGGGCTAGGGTTCGAGACTGTGGGTTGGGGGCTAGGATGTACTGCTGGTTGGAGCTGAGGGCTGGGGGCCTAGGGCAGGTCCGATGGTGTGGGGGCAGGGCCGATGGGGATGGGGCAGGGCTTGTGGGGGTGGGGTGTGGCTATGTTGATGGGGTGCGGCAGGCCTGGAATGATAATGAGGGCAGGTCTAGGGTAATGGGGGGTAGTGCAGGGTTGTGGGGATGGTGGTGGGGCAGGGCAGGCGAAGGGGAAGGGGATTAGGGTGCAGGGGAAGGGGCTGGGGACAGGGAAAGGGGACTGGGGTGTAGGGGAAGGGGGATGTGGGGCTGGGGTGCAGGCGAGGGGGAGGGGAGCAGTGGAGGGGGAGGGGGCTGGGGTAAGGAGCGGTGGAGGGATGGGACACCGGAGACGGCGTGTTACTATGGCGGTGTCACTGTGGGTGATGGGCGGGCCGTAACTTTGGCCGGAGTCACTTTAGCGGTGTCACTATAGCGGTGTCACTGTGTCCGGCAGCGGTGATCGGTGGTGGCGGTGACCGACGGTGGCGGTGACGGCAGTGACATATATCTTATAGTGACATAACAGTCCGATAGTTACAAAAAATGACAGTGACATCATGTTTTCCAAATATGTGACCTTTTTAGTCACATTTTTGTCTTTTTAAAAAATGATCACATTTTTGGAAATCAGATTAAATTTAGTAATATTCAAAGAAAAAACCCTTAAATATAAGGAATAAATGACTTTTAGTCACTTTTTGAAAAATTTTAAAACAAGTCACATTTTTATACTTTTCATTCATTTTAATAATTTAATAATAAGGAGTATTGGAATAAAAAGGCGTTTATGAAAAAAATACAATCATTACCGTTCCGTATTTATACCTTCCATTCAACTACCCCACGGCCCCACCTCAGCAAGTCAGCATCACACTATAGTCCAAACAATGTTCTTCTTGCCCATCTCCCTGTTTTCTACTGTATTATTGCTCTGTTCTCATCGCTACCGCACAGTTTTCCATTGAATACAATCATCACAGATCTCACTGCCACTAAACCCGTCACCTCTTCCCTTGCATGTCTTCCTTTTCCGATCGAGATGATGGCAGCTAACATTTCAGCTGTTCTGTTTTTGGCTCCGAGCTCAAATCACGGAAACCATGCTTTCCAGGATCTCTTATCTCACCGTGGATTCATCAGAGTGAACCGGCAGCTTAACTGTTCCTCTTCGAGAATCCGGAAGCTCCCAGTCCTCTGCGAGTCGAAGGTGATCGATCTTCTTTAATCTTGAGTACTTCTTGTGACGTCTGATGATTGCCATTTTGTGATAATGTAGTCATTATAGTTGGCTATTCTTTTGGTTCGATAGGCTGTGTGGTGCTGTTTAGTCCATTTACACCATATGGAGTGATAGTTCTCTTGTTTTTTCTTGCTGCAAAGAAGTCTTTCCCGTCATTCATACTTTGAGCTTGATTTGAATTTTTCTAGATCAAGGTGACCCTATAATGCAGACATGCAGAATTTAGGCAAATAGTTTTTTGAATCATGATATGATGATAAGAAAGCAGAGCCCACTTATGGCGGTTATGGCCTTATGGGTGTTCTTCAAAGTGTCATCTTTGAAATTTCACAAGTCCGAGTGCGACCATTGCCTATACTTTAAAAATACTTCTTCTGTGCCTGTATTTTTATTGCTTTATGTGGATGACATGTTGATTGTTAGTCCTTCGGGTGACGCCATTAAAGGTGTGCAAAAGCGTCTCAGTGAGAACTTTGCAATGAAAGACCTAGGTGATGCCAAGAGGATCCTAGGCATTAACATTGTTAGGGATAGGAGTAAGCGTGTGTTAGTACTCAATCATATTTCATACATTGAAAAGATTTTGAGTAAATATAACATGCATTCTGCTACTACCGTCTCTATCCCTATGGCGTCCCACTTTGTGTTAAGTAAGGATCAGTCTCCCAAGACTGCTCCTGAAATTGCTAAAATGAAATCTGTGCCTTATTCCAATGCTATTGGGTCTGTGATGTACCTCATGGTGAGTACTAGACCCGACATTGCCTATGCTGTTAGTTGTTTGAGTAGGTATATGTCTAATCCTGGTTTACCTCATTGGAATGCTCTTAAGTGGTTGCTTAGGTACTTGAAATCTTCTGTTAATCATGGGTTGGTTTTCACTAGGTGTTCTGAGGGTGTTAAGTTGAGTGGGTATGTGGATTCGAATTTTGCTAACGATAGAGACAATAGGAAATCCACTACCTCTTATGTGTTTACTCTTTGCGGGTCGTGCATTAGTTGGAAGTCTCAACTTCAACCCATTGTTGCCCTATCCACTACTGAGTCCGAGTATGTGGCCGCTACCGAAGCTTTCAAGGAAGCCATTTGGCTTAAACGTCTCCTAACGGAGATTGGTAGTCTTAATCAGGATATTTGTGTGTTTTCTGATAGTCAATCTGCGATTCAACTGTGCAAAAACCCTGTCTTTCATGATAGAACTAAGCATATTGATGTTAGATTTCATTTTATACGTGATATTGTTAGTGCAGGTGATATCAAGTTGATTAAAATTCCATCTGAATTTAATCCTGCTGACATGGGGACAAAATGTCTCTCTGTCGAAAAGTTGTTGTCGTGCAAGCGCACGTTGAACATTGATTGCGGTTAAGTTGCCTGGTGATCTTACCCCTTTGCCTAAATGTGTCTTTGTGATCATTCGGGCAATCCAGCGATGATGAGTCTCATGTATGTTTTAGAGCTTTGCGCTCTACACCACTAAGGTCCAATAAGGTGGAGATTGTGTAGGTATTGGCCCGTTTTTTCCTTTAAGCCCACTTCAACTCTTTTGCCCGGCCCCCTTTCTCTCGGTGATTACGCGGTCGTTATCTTTCTCCTTCATCCGTGCGATTCTTTCCTTCTCTACTCCTGTGTGATTCAATCGTTACTCCATTGAAGGTAAGTTACCATATTTGTCTCTTTGGTATGCCTATTTATACTTCTCTTTGTCGATGGATTCGAGAGAGCTTGGCCGAAACCCTCTTCTTCCTCTTTTTCGCACATTGAGAGCTTGGTCGGAATTAGGCTGAGTTGGCCGGAAAATAGCCCGTTGGCTGACGCCCCTTTCCCCTTATAGACTGTAGTGGTGGTTCTTCATCCTTTGTGGGTGAAATCGGAGACCTGAGCTGGAACTTACAGTGGCGACTTCACTGGGGACTGCTTCAGGCCGTACAAGGCCTTCCTAAGCAAACACACATAATTACTCTTCATGGGATCCACAAAGCCCTCAGGCTGGGTCATATAGATTTTCTTGTCCAAATCACCATGCAAGAAAGCAGTGGTGACGTCCATTTGCTTCATTTCCCAATCATGATGAGCAACAAGAGCAAGCATAGTTCTAATCGTAGTGAATTTAACAACAGGAGCAAAGATTTCAGCATAATCAACACCTTCCGTTTGAGTAAATCCCTTAGCAACTAACCTAGCCTTATATCTAATGTCGTTAGGCTCTTCCTTAACCTTAAATAGCCACTTACACTCAACTACGGAACTATTGGGCGGTCTAGGAACTAACGTCCAAGTCTTATTCGCTCTAAGTGACTCCATCTCACTCTCCATGGCGCAAAGCCATTTAGCGGACTCATTAGACTTAAGGGCCTCCCTATAGGTTTTAGGTTCGTTAAGCTCAAGGGTCTCAAACACAGAGAAAGCAAACATAGAAGTATCACACGCATGGAAAGCAAAATCAGGCATGCTATCAGCAGTTCTCCTAATTTCTCTCCTACTTCTATCTCTAACAAGTTGTTAATCATGCAAAACATTATCACTAGGATCAGCACTCTCATCATGCGATTCATTGTCATTTGAATGCACATGAGAATGCTCCACCTCACTCGAAGTGGTGGTATTATCATGCTCAGAAGAATCATGCAATTCAGAAGAATCATGCAAATTAGAAGAATCATGATTAGCAAACAAAGGACTAGCAGCATATGGTATGGACTCCACCTCAACAGGTGTACTACTAGGGCTCGACTCAGAATCAGGAACTGACTTAACCAGACAAGGGAACTCGGATTCATTGAAAACAACGTTTCTACTTACCACAACCTTGAAACCTACCTGGTTCCTATCCCAAACCCTGTACCCCTTCACACCCTCAGGATAACCTAAGAAGACTCCTTTCTTAGACCTAGGGTCCAATTTGTCACCCTGTTGGTGTACATACGCAGCACACCCAAACACTCTAAGATTAGACAAATCAAGGGGCTTGTTTGAAAAAACAGATTCAGGGCATTTCCCACCCAAGGGAACAGAAGGAGACCGGTTAATCAAGTAGACAGCAGTATTGACTGCTTCACCCCAAAACTTTTTAGACAAACCGGAGGTAGCAAGCATACTCCTAACCTTATCTAGAACAGTCCTATTCATTCTCTCGGCTATCCCATTTTGTTGGGGAGTATAGGGCACAGTCTTGTGCCTTCTAATCCCACAATCAACACAGAGTTGGTCCATATCCTTATTGCAAAACTCTAATCCATTATCGGTCCTAAGGGTTTTGACCATCTTACCGGTTTGATTTTCTACAAGGGTTTTCCACTCCCTAAATTTCACAAAGACATCGGACTTATGCTCAAGAAGACGGACCCACACCTTCCTAGAGAAATCATCGATAATGGACAGAAAATATCTCTTACCCCCGTGGGTAGAGACACTAGCAGGACCCCACACATCTGCATGAACATACTCAAGCACAGAGGTACACTTAGTGGGATTAGGATAAGGGGAAGAGGGGAATGTAACCTTATGCTGCTTGCCTAACACACAAGATTCACAGAAAGGGATGGAGGACACAGAATCCTTACCAAAACAACCAGATTTATGCAAAATCTTTAAACCCTTATTACTCATGTGTCCTAATCTATTATGCCACAAAGCAGTTTTATCAGAACTAACAACATGAGCAGAATCACAGAAAGGCTGAGCATGGCACACATACAAATTATTCACCTTTTTTGCCTTAAACAAAACAAGGGAATTTTTCAAAACTTTCATGCACCCATTTCCCCATTTACCCTCAAGCCCACTACCCTCAAAAGCAGCGACAGAAAACAAGTTATGACGCAAATCAGGGACATGCCTCACATTTTTCATAGTAAACACAGTCCCATTATCAAACTTTAAGCATACATCACCCACCCCATGTATTTTGCATTTCTTATTATCAGCAAGAGACACAAAACCATCATTGCAAGAATCATAAGAAGCAAACAGAGATCTAAAAGGTGTCATATGATAAGTACAACCAGAGTCAATCAACCACTCATTTTCAGTCATGCTACTCAACACAGAATTTGCAGAATCACAGACCATAAAAACTTCTTCATGCAAGTTATTATCATCTACCACATTAGCATGTTCAGACTTCTTAGGATGGGGACAATCCTTAATGAAGTGACTAGAATTACCACAATTATAGCACACTCTCTTCTTAGACTTACCTCTCTTCTTCCCCGGGTCATTGTTATTGGTCTGGTTCTTATTGTTGCTACCCTTCTTATGGTTTCTAGATCTACTCTTAGACCTACCCCTTACAAGCAACGCTTCACCAGAATCCCTAGATTGACTGTTACTACCCCTCGAGTGTCTAAGGTCTAACTCCTTACTCCTTAATCCATTAACGACTATATCTAACGAGATATCGTCTCTACCATACTTTATGGCAGATTTGACGTCATTGTAAGAGTCAGGGATGGCATTAAGTAACACTATGGGTGTGTAGTCATCTATGTGTTTATCACCGGCTTGCTTAATGTTCTGAATAAGCTTGTTAAACACATCTAGGTTCTCATCTATGTCTTTGGTCAGGTCAAGCCTAAACCTAAAGAACTTCTCAAGCAAAAACAATTTACCAGGCAAAGAAGTATCGGTATACAACTTATCTAACTTGTCCCACAACTCTTTTGCGGAATCTATAATACCCACCTTCCTGAGCACTGAATCAGAAAGGTTTAGGTAAATAGAGGAACAAGCAGTTTCATTCATCTCAACACGCTTAGCAGCATCCTCAGAGTCTAAATAGAGACCGGTCACGGCTCTATAGACTTTCTGTTGGATCAACACACATTTGATTTTCTGTTTCCAGATATCAAAATCTGTCTTTCCGTTAAATGGGAGCATGCCATATTGATTGACAGCCATATTAACAGGAAAGCAAGCACAACACGCAAGAGAGTAAATAAAAAATTTATCAGGCTATCAACCGGTACGAAGCAACTAGCACGAACAAGCCGAGAAGACCAATGAACACAAGGCTCGGGTACAATCTCCTTGTTCTTTCGTACAAGCACAGATAAAAAAATTTTATTTACTCAACAGACAGATAAATGATTAATTATAACCTAAAGGGCTATCAATTGTACGAAGCATCTAGCACGAACAAGCCGAGAAGACCAATGAACACAAAGTTCGGGTACAATCTCCTTGTTCTTTCGTACAAGCGCAAATAGGCTAGAATTAAATCAACAAACAAAGAGACATGATTTAAAACTAATCCGGACAGAAATATTTCCAACTTCGGACAACAAGTATCCAAACAAATATTCTTAACCGGAGAGTTTATCCACGAATCAATCAACAGGAAAAAATCAAAATAAAAAATCCAACATGTGATTAAATTTAAACCGGAAGAAATATTCACAACTTTGGACAACGAGTATCCAAACAAAAATATTCTTCACCGAAAAAATTAATCACAAACCAACAAGTAATCACAATTTAAACAAACATGAAATTGTAATTCAACTTGAAAATAAAAATGAATGAACTACGAATAAAAATCACACAAAGGATTAGTAAACGTACCTGGGGCCGGGCACAGCCGGCGTCCTAGACCACGCAGGTCAGCAGCGGGGAGCGGGGGGGAAAATAAATCCGGTGGCACTCCGGTACACCAAGGGTGTTCATTTTATACGTGATATTGTTAGTGCAGGTGATATCAAGTTGATTAAAATTCCATCTGAATTTAATCCTGCTGACATGGGGACAAAATGTCTCTCTGTCGAAAAGTTGTTGTCGTGCAAGCGCACGTTGAACATTGATTGCGGTTAAGTTGCCTGGTGATCTTACCCCTTTGCCTAAATGTGTCTTTGTGATCATTCGGGCAATCCAGCGATGATGAGTCTCATGTATGTTTTAGAGCTTTGCGCTCTACACCACTAAGGTCCAATAAGGTGGAGATTGTGTAGGTATTGGCCCGTTTTTTTCCTTTAAGCCCACTTCAACTCTTTTGCCCGGCCCCCTTTCTCTCGGTGATTACGCGGTCGTTATCTTTCTCCTTCATCCGTGCGATTCTTTCCTTCTCTACTCCTGTGTGATTCAATCGTTACTCCATTGAAGGTAAGTTACCATATTTGTCTCTTTGGTATGCCTATTTATACTTCTCTTTGTCGATGGATTCGAGAGAGCTTGGCCGAAACCCTCTTCTTCCTCTTTTTCGCACATTGAGAGCTTGGTCGGAATTAGGCTGAGTTGGCCGGAAAATAGCCCGTTGGCTGACGCCCCTTTCCCCTTATAGACTGTAGTGGTGGTTCTTCATCCTTTGTGGGTGAAATCGGAGACCTGAGCTGGAACTTACACAAAGAGTGTTATTTTTTACCAAGGAAGATAGAGATCTATGAAGATTTTTATTGCTTGTAACTTTCTTTTAAGAACCTGTTGATAGATGTTACATGTTTGGTAGAAAAGTCCAACTCTTTTTGAGCTGATATGCTTCAAATTTAATACTCCAATTTACTGTAGCTGTAGTCCCATGTGGATGATTGAATGACTGGAGTGGGTTGTAGCTGAAAAAAATGAGTTGAACTGAAAAGTTAATATTTTTAGATTTTCAATCCACCTATATATGGCAGATTTATATCACAATTATCTTTGGGTAGTTTATTCCGAAACTAGTCATCTACTGTTCTCCGCTTTTCTGCTTCAGCAACCCACCCTATATCCAGCTCCTGACAATAATCTCCACTCCTGTCATTAACCCCTAATCCGACATTAATCTCTGGTTCCGTTCGTCAAACATAGCTGTTTTCTCAACATATATAATGAAGCATAGAGCTTCAGAGTTCAGACCACTCTTTTTATGCCGTTGTTTTTATTCTGACATGTACATTTGGAATGAAAACTTGCTATGTGAATATAATATTATTTGATTCAACTGAGTTACTGTTTTGGCCTATTAGCTTCACACCACTCTTTTTATCCCACTTTATTCATTTTGTCTATTTTAAAATGAAGGAAGTGCAAATTAGGAAGTGCTCACCTATTTTGGAGAGCATATATTTGTCAGGGAATGTATCATTGCCATCTTCTGAATACAAAACAGTTCCCGATATATGGAAGATGGCAGCGGAGAAGTTTGGCAGCCGCATAGCATTAGTGGACCCATATCATAACCCTCCAACAAATTTGAGCTACAAGCAGGTTAGCTTTACCATGGATATAGTTGTATATTTCTTTGTTGAAAATTTTCTGAACATGTGAATCACTATATTAAGATCGTAAGGTACAAGCCATAAATCATGGATCCCACACAGTTTTAAATTAACTTTAATTGTCAGCTTAACAAATTTATCATATACGACTTGTTTTGTACCCTTTTGGTAAAGTAAGTAAAAGATTAGCTTCATTTGATCAAACAGGACTCTTTTCCTTGAGGAAAAAATTGTCTGGAGCAAGATATTTTTTAGACTGAGTGAGTGACTTTTTCATAACATATAAATTGTACTGCCTCTGTCCCAAAATAAAAGCCACCTCTTTCTTCTTGGGGACTATTCCAAAATAAAAGCTGTCTCATTTTTTGGCAAATAGTCCTACATACAATTCATACTTTACCCTTATTTTTTACTTTAACCTACAACTTTAGCATTCCAACTTTACTCACTTTTTCGGTGCTACATTGAAAGGGGAGGGTATAGAACACTAAATCCATCAGTTATTATATTCATATTAACGTAGATTGCAGTTACAACCCATATAGAATATTATAATATCTATTCACTTAATGCAAAATCAGTCAAGCAATTCAGTCTGATTTTTTTTCTCTTCCCTAAAGTACTATAGAGGGTGGTTTAGCTGTTTCATCCCATTTTCTTAATTTATGTGCCAAAAGGTTTGTAACTTATTTTGGGACGCAAGGAGTATAACAGTTTGTTATATCCTTCCAACTTCTAAAGTTTCTAAACGTTTTTTGTAATGTTACCAATTCATAAACTTATTGCTTCTTTAATTGATGAATTATCTTCACGCAATGGAACTATATTATATTGAAATATGCCCCATTTGGGCGCACAGTAATGCTGTTACGGCGTATCATTCATTTTGCCCCCAGACATTCTTTCTATGTGTTGTTTTGTCTGAGTCTTTTGATTTTAATAAATGCCTATCTTACCTTTTTAACTCAAATTAGAATCAAGAGATGAAATAGGGTTAACCTTCATCTGTTACATATTAATTCCTTGATTTTGCAATATAAAGAAATTATGCTTTTGGGTAATATAAGACTAATAACATTCATAAAAGTTCAACGTAGTCATTTCATTACACCCAACCATTTACGCCATGCCAACCATTCCCACAGATCAACAAACTGATTACCCTGTCGCGAGTCGTGACTTTAAAGTACCGAGTTTGAATACTGCAAGAAGCTGGCCATTGGTTATCTTGACGGAGCCTGTCTGCTATGGTTCATCCTAGATTCCTAGGTTGGTTAATACCTCATGAATCTTTACCAGCTAGGCCTATGCGCCTATGGGGTGGAGTTTTACCTAGTACCCACTTTAAGGTAGCCATTACAGGTCCTGATGTCATAAAAAATGAAATGAAAATGGAAACAGGCTATAAGGAATAATTCATTATTAATGATCGTTTACATGTTTGCATGTTTGGTTTACATGTTTGCATTAGGCTATAAATAGAAAACCTTCATTTGAGAATATGGGAGACTCAGCTGAAAACTCCACATCAAGTTTCATGTCTTAAAAAAGGCTCAAGTCTCTACCTGGGTGTTGATTGATTCTCAATACACTTTTTACCCAATGCAGCTTGAGAAGGAAATCCTGAGCTTTGCCGAAGGCCTTAGAGCTGTTGGGTTAAAACCAGATGAAAAGATTGCGCTTTTTGCAGATAATTCATGCCGATGGCTAGTTGCAGATCAAGGTACTCTCTCTTTTCTCTCCAACTTCTGAAATATTGATTGTGACGTGGGGAGGAAACACATGACTCAATGTTAAAATTTTTACTCCACACTCTCAATTCATGTTATTATCAGTCTTCTCGAACTTTTTTTTAGATCTTCAGTGTTCCAACTCTTTACTACTCCATATTGGAGCACACATCTGTAGATGACAAACATACCTAAAACAACAAAGTTCGTTCTCCCTTACCATATCATTAATAGCCGTTATCTCACCTTTGCACATATCTCCTTCATTTGCAACTCTAAAATGTGCATCTCGGCTACACACTTCTTCATAATATAGCATTTCTTAACAGCCTAGGTGCCTATCACTTGTGTCCATAACTCCATATAATAAGGCTTGTCAAATAGGTCAAATATAATTTTCCCATCATTCTTTGAGCAACATCATGATCACACAATTTTGATGACTCAATATAGAATTAACTATAAAGGCTGCCAGGGAGGCTATAGGTTTGTGAACAAGAGCTGCTAGGGAGGATCTACAGCTGAAATGGACAAACATACTCAAATATTTGCTAAACCACAATTGAACCATGGGTATAGGTCTTCTAGGGGGAAGCTATAAGCTGAAAAAGACAAATCTTCTCAAACATTTATAAAACCAATACACCACTGTATCCCCATAGATTATAGCTGGTGTACTCTTATGTAGGTTTGATATTTAATAATATAAATAATAAATGTGAAGTCCAACTATAAGCTGGCTTTTAGACAAGACTGTTCATATCCTTCTCAGACCCTACTTCCAAGTGGGACATAACAATAAGCGTGATGTCCTATTATAAGATTAATCTTTTAGATACGACTGATCACACCCTTCTATAAACTAAAGCTATTGATTCTGAAACATGTAAATTGAGAAAATTAATTGCAAATGAAATCTTTTAGGTATAATGTCTACTGGCGCAATCAATGTGGTGAGGGGTTCGAGGTCATCGGTTGATGAGCTTTTGCATATATACAACCATTCTGAAAGGTTAGTCCAGACGTTCTTCAAGAGAGGTGCTTCTTCTAACTACAGTGTATCAATTTCTCACTTTTTTAATGTATCCATGGCTTATATATCTGGTATTTGCACTTTTACCTCATGGAGAGCATATAACTTGCTTTAAGTATTCCCCTCTCTTTTCTCCCAATTTCTTGCTGCATTTCTATATGTTCTTCATTGCAATGACAAAAGCTGGTGTGAGAGATCTCACTGTCGAAGCTTCCCCATCTTTCTGCCACAATCTTTGTTGTGTCTTTTATTTATTCATTGCAAGGACAAAAGCTGATGGCTTATATTTGTATTTTCGTTAAATAAATTATACTATCTTTCATTGTTCTATTTCTCCTCATTTGCTGGTGATGCACCCTTTGAATATGGTAGATAAATCTTGTATCAATTAGGTATTAGAGGAGATTGGGCCTTTTTGATAGGAGGATTTAATCCCATAATGGAAATTATTACCACTAGCCATTACTACATAGCCATTACCACAAGTGTGTACATCTTCCACATTAGGATTTAGCTTGGAGTCAAATTAAATCCTAGTGTATTTATTATGACCCATGGGTGGATGCAGCGTTATAGAATTCCTTATTACTTGTCATTAAATCCTCTTCAATGTGTATATTCATATCAAATATCATTCTTAGAAAAATCTGATTCAGATTATTGAAATCCTGGTTTAATACCAAACCAGTAGTTCATGTAAAACACATACCCATTACTCAATCTATGATACGAATTTTGACTCTGTTTCCCATTTTAGAACCAAAGAGGCAAAGACCCCAAGATTATTGTGATGTTTAGTTTTAGCTTTTCTAATAATAGTTGAGTCACTGTATTTTTATATAGACACTGGATGAGATATTACTCTCAACGTTCCTGTCATGATACCCTCTTTTTCATTCTTTCATGTAATAAAGGGAAGCTTTTGACTTCACTCTTAAAAAGACTAGTGTTTGAGTACTGTTTTTAGACATTACTGATTGTATATTTGTATATCTCAGTATTTATTTTTGGAATTAGACAATTTGCTTAGATTGATTTGTTTTTTCTTGTACGATCAAGCTATCACATCTTCGTATGTGGGGTCTTTGTAAGCTCATCAATGTTATACTTGTCATTCAAAAGAAGCATATACGTAATTATCCCAATGAATGTAATTGTTAGTGCAATCTCTCTCTTTCTTGTGTGTTCATCCTTTCCATAAAATTTAATATCTTTTATATATCCTTACAAAGGGAACATGCTATAAATTTCTTGTTACTATAATTACAGCGTCGCCCTTGTTGTCGACAGTCCAGAAATGTACAGCCAAATTGCAGAAACTTTCCACACTCATGCAGATGTAAGATTTGTCATCATCCTTTGGGGAGAAAAGTCAAGTATCACACATGAAGTATTAGATGGATTCCCCATGTATAGTTATACAAAGATCTTAGATTTGGGAAATGAGAGTCATATGGTGTTGCTTCACTCACAAGAAGCTGGTAAGTGGTTTTAATCCAGACAGAATGACAGATTATTAATAAAGCTTATTGTTTTTATTAAGATATTGCGTAAGCCCAAAAGATCATTTTCAACTGTGTATTATTCATAGTAGACATTCTTTTACCATTTGATGCATCATATATAGAAGAAACTGTATGCTGTTGTGGATGCTTAATTCAATGTGCCTCCTCTCTAGTAGCTTATTCTTTGGACTGATTTAGAGAAGTAAACATAGTCTCATGACAAGTAGTTTTTTGAACTGTTAAATACATTAAATAAATAAGTAATTATGTCCACAGTAAATATGCTAGGCGAATGAAACTCCATCAGGTGTATGCTAGGCAGGTATCTAATTTCACTTGGTAAAACAATATGTATAAACAACAACGGTGCATGTAACATTGTAACCAAGGTCACAAAAGTTTCACTTATATTGAATAGGTAATGCTAGAGTATAATTAAGTTATGAGCTTAATTTTAAGTCTAAGTACTTCAACATCATAGACAATTTTATGTCCCTTTAAGATCCCTTGATCAGAATGAATCATATATGTGTGGACAGTGTGATAGAAAGACCGAAATATCACTGATTAATTAATACACTCGCAGGGCATCAATACACATATGAACCGATCAAATCCGATGATGTCGCTACACTTGTTTATACTAGTGGAACTACTGGAAATCCAAAAGGTGTTATGCTTACACATAACAATCTGCTTCACCAGGTTTCTGCCATATCCCTATTATTATTATGGTAACATGACCAACTCCATTGAACTGTATATAAATGGAAACCTGAAAAGCAACAATATTAATGATCATAATGAGAACCTTAATCCCAACTGGTTGGGGTCAGTGGCATTAAATTTACAAGATATCTGTCCTATACACTCGGTGCATAGGATAAGATGCATTTAGTATCTTTTTAGTTTCCATAATTCTCTTAAATATAAATTTTCGAAATAATATTTCCATGCATGTTGTACCATGACTGTTTAGATTCTTCATATAAAGAAATTAATAAGCGCATCCTATCGAGTCCACAGATACACATGCTAGCCAAGCATTAAATTAAGTGTCCTTTTATTGTATAAAACTCGTTTCACCATAACTTCCTATAAAAAAGCATAGAAGTAAGTTTAAGACGGAAGTTGCTAAGTTCAATAAAAGGGAAGCAACATTAGTAAAGAAGAAGAATATATTGCTAGATCAGTATCCTACAAAATGGAAAAAGAAGCAAAAGTAGTGACAATCATTTTCCTGTGCAGCAGTAATCCCAGCTTATATACCATTTATCATTCTTTTTTTGATACATCGGAAAAGAATATACCATTTATCTTAGCTGTTAGAATCTCACATCATAAAACTAAAACAACAATGATGGTTTAATAAGACCTTGGGTTGAAGTGTTGAACTAGCTAATTAATTGGATTTTATCTGTTAGTGTGGTAGCCATGTGTTTGATGGCCTTCTATCAATAGTGATAGGAGCAGGTAGCATAGAAGGAATGACATGACAAGTAGATGGTTTTTGGGACACAGACAATGGTACTTTGGTACACCAGCATCCTCAACGGTTTCCCTTCAAGGGGAGGTACTATCCACCATATCTGAAACCTCAGAATAATGTGCTTCACTGCTTGGGCTGAGCTACCCTATTAGAACTGAATGCTTGAGAAATAATTGAGCTCTGGATTTTTCTAATCTCTCCCAGAGTGTTTGTGATAAGGCATGGGAAAACTTACAAACCAGGAGAAATCTATCTATTATCACAAAATCTTTAACATCAGTTGATGAGACTATAGGAGTAGAATAACAGGCTCCCCCTCTGTATAAAGAACTTTAGGCTAAAGATGGAGGGAGAAACTGTGCAAAGTAGCTATAAACTGGAGGCTAAAGAAGGAAGAAAAAATGCCCCTCCTGTCAAAAGTGTGGACTGGAGTATATGGACTGATTTCAATGTCACGAAGATGGGGTATAGCCATGACCATATAACGTTTTTGTCATGAGAAGGAGAGTGTTCTGCATTTGGGTAGAACACTGGAGTAACCTCTTTTCATCAATTGAGTTTACAAGTCTTCACTGATTTTTTATTGACATATTTCTTTTGAAAATATCCATCTAGCTTGTATTTTTAGCATTTTATGATCTTTTTATTTCACTTTTACCAACTACTACAGAATTGTTACTCTGTCCATGCAATATGAAGTACGACTTTGTATGTGTTCCTTTTCTAGGTTTTGAATCTCTGGGATCCTGTACCTGTTTTGCCCGGGGATAGATTCCTGAGCATGCTTCCTCCTTGGCATGCATATGAACGTGCTGCTGAATATTTCTTACTCTCTCTTGGATGTGAGCTAGTATACACTACGGTAAAAAACTTAAAGGTATGCGCTATTGATATATTAGTATATTACTACTTGCTGTTAAATTTCAACTTACCTAGTTTATTTAATTATTTATTTATTCAATGTTAAAGTATTAGATGCTGCAATCAATTTTGCTATCCACTATTTGCAGTTGTAAATGTTCTTTTATAATAATAATACTCCTGTACTAAAAAACATCACGCCAAACTTCTGATTCAGTTTACTCATATTTTAGGAAGATCTAAAACTTTATCAGCCACAGTACGTAATATCAGTTCCTTTGGTATATGAGACATTGTACAGGTAAATCATGTTGAATGAATGTTACTTTATGTTATATTCTACTTTTAGTACAAAGTGTCCTACATATTTATGGATTTACCATTTACCAAGGATGGATTGTGCACTGATAATATCAAAATAAACTAGTTGTGCTAAAGATTGGATTAATGTTGATTTGCAATAAATTTTTAGGACACTAATAAAATGTGAGAATGATGACTCACGTCAACCCAACTCTCCATCATAGATTTCCTTAGATTGTCTGGAAAAAACTATTACGATTTATGTATAATTTGCTTTCTTCATTTTCAAGATACATTCTTTTGCACCTCGATATCATGCTCTGTTGGTTTTTATTTTTAAACTTTTCAATCTTGCAGTGGAGTTCTGAAGCAGATTAATAAAAGCAGCACTGCTCGTAATCTCATCGCCTTATTATTTTTAAAGATCAGTTTGACGTACAAGGAAGCCAAAAGGATATATGAGGTTAACCTTTTAGCTCTTACATTTTGGAGGTGTTTGAATTTTGTAATCTATTTAGTACAGAAAGCTTAGAAAGTATTCAGGATACTAGGATACATATTCTAACAAATATTTAGCTACAGTTGAAGTGTCCGAGACTTCATATGTAAATAAGTTGCAAAATAATTTATGTGAATTATCCATGATTTAGTTTAATCTCTTGTTTCAGGGGAAATGCTTAACACAAGATCAAAAGCAACCTTCTTATCTTGTTTCAGTTTTTGACTGGTTATGCGCCAGAGCCATTGCTGCTCTATTGTGGCCATTGCATTTGGTTGCAAGGAAATTAGTCTACAGAAAAATTCACTCAAATCTTACTATGTCTAAGGTAATGTTATTTCACTGCAGAATTTGAGGTTAATGTCATTTATCTACTTCTACCCTTTGGTTCAAAAGAGAAATGAAAAGGCAGTTGAAGCGGGAGAGGGGAGCGGAGGGGAGGAAATGGTAGAGTTTTAAAAGATGAATGGAGGAGAAATTAGGTTAGTTAGAGTCATGGAAGCAGTTATAATAGTTTGATTGAAATAGTTGTGCCTAAAGCCGCAGATATACTTATGCTATCATTGAAGAACATTAGAAGAAAATAATCTGTTTTTTATACAAGTGATTTCTTTTTCCTTCCTAACCTCAGTTTAACTGACGTTTGTGGATGAGAAGTCAAAATTACCAAGACCCACTCCTAAAATTATGTTCACTGAATCTGAGAAACATTGAAGCATGGTTGTCACGGCGTCGCCTAGGCAGAGACTAGGCATCCTGGCAATGGGGCAGCCACGTCCCACGCCATGCTCGATCAACTCGCCTGAAGTCGCCGTTGCAGGCCGTGTCGCTGACGCAGGTCACTATCGCTAGTCACCGGCGCTGGTCGCCATCGCTTGTCTCTGCAGATTCTGAGTTCTGCCGTTTGCTACTGCCCATCCTTCTTCTGTATCTTTAGACCGAAGTACGGACTCGGTTCTCTTTTATGGCTTTTAGTTAGCCACACTCTTACACGTTGGTCCCATTTTTTATCTCACAGTTTTTATGTGTAGGAACTACAAATCTCCATATTTATTTTAGTTTCATTTCTTATATCGCTTTTAACCCACTTTTCATTCACTTTTGCTACTCAAATCCCGTGTAAAGTCCATGGTTGGACATTGTCATAAACAGTCTACAGTTTATTTCTATCTCTCTCCTCTTTTTCATGTTACCCTACACACCACTATCTCTAATCTCTATATTTAATTAAAATAGTTATCCTATCTCTATCTCCCTCCTATACCACATGGACTTCACTACAATCCACTTCCCCACTGGAGATGCTCTTTTTGTTTCTCTCTTTTTTTGTTTGTCGGTCAGTTGATTCCCGCTGGACGATAGGACTACATCTTTCCATCCTTTGTTGTGTATTACACAATATATTCTATTCTAACAGCTGATTTTTAAAGAGATGAAAAAAGTAATTACTTCATTTATATTGAATACTTTATATTACATTAAAATTTAACTTAAATTTTCTTAATTTGCAGTTTAAATGGTCTTAATACTTATTTGAAATGGCTATTGAAATCTTGTTTTGAATTATTTAACTCTAGTTTGAATAAGTAGTTTATAACATATTGCAAAAAAAAGTAATTTATAATACATCAGTTCATCATAATTTAAATATTATATATGGTGTGACATACTGACATGTCGCCTAGGCGATATGGCGGTCGGCTGGCACCGCGCCTCGTCTTGCCGCTGTGACAATCATGCATTGAAGTTGAGCTGGTCACAGTGATCTGCATTCACATTGCCATATAAGACCTGCAAAAGCGTAATTTGGATGTGAAAATTATCTTCTGTACATGAAACAAACAAAAAGAACGAGTAAGGAAGAACATCATAGATGCCAACGTGCATCACTACACCACAAAGATGTATTTCATTAGTATAGTGATACATAAGTATAGAAAACATACCGGGATATTAGGAAAGAGTCGCACACAGTGTAGGTTTGGGGAAAGGAAAGATCAATGCAACTTAAACCCCTGTTGAGAGAAGTCTATTATAGATTTATAGTGGATGAATCTATGACTCAATTACTCAACCTGTAACACTCGATTACCATATTTAGTACCAAGACTGGGTTGTACTGTACGATAATGGTGGATCTTTTGTGGACTGATGTAACTGCTCTTTTTCTGTCAGGCTGGAATAAGTGGAGGTGGTAGTCTATCCCCACACGTTGACAGGTTCTTTGAGGTTTGGTGCTTTATCTTTGTGGTTATATGATTCGTAGATTGATGAAATCACCTGATTAAAAAATGTGATTATGGTTCAGGCAATTGACATGACAATACAGAATGGATATGGTTTAACAGAGTCATCTCCTGTTGTTGCATGTCGGCGTCCAAACTTGAATGTACGTGCAGTATTTTTTCCATTAAAAACTTATCAGTGTCTAATGCCTAGTACTCCCTCCGTCCCGTTGCAATGTTCCCGTTCGGTTTACGATGCTTGACTGACGATAAAGCAACTCGATCCCTGTTCACACTTCGCTTATTTTTAGTAAATAAAATTTACATATTCAGAAACTACATTAAAACCGCTACAAAGCCTGATCAAGAAAAGTTCAATTTGATAAAAAATTGATATATAAAGTAAAAGATTAGGAGTGACCTAAGTTGACCAATGAATAGTGAACAAGAACATTCCAACGGGACGGAGGGAGTAATTTATACTCTGTAACTTATAGCTGAAGCTGTTTGTTGAATTTCCCTACGTAGTAGTTTTTACACTTTAGTGAGGGAGTAAAAACTAATTTATTCTCATGCTAGAAGCATCTACCTAAAGTATGCTATCTATACTGGTACTTAATTTGATAAAGCATTTTAGTTGAGATTAACGTTGCATGGCATAATTGGAAAAGATAAAGGACAATGTATGAATGAAGCACATAGCTTTAGTTCTATGAGGATCTTGATATGATCTTCAGATAAAGTAATATTTTCTTAATATTATCTTCAAATAAAGCATTTTAGTTGAGCTTTTGTTTCTGATAAAAGACATTATGCGAGCAAACAAGGTTGAGAACTTCTTTACCTGTGAGTGTAGCTCTATCTAATAACTTAAGGGAGAAGGGCCAAAAAGGACATCGAGGTTTTTAATGAATCTCGGATATGACACTGAGGTCTAAGGTGGACCAAAAAAACACAAATTAAAACTTTCCCTTCACTTTTAACCACCCATCAACTCTCCTCTTAAACGACCGTTTCCATAACACTTCGCATAAGAAGACCCCCAAATTATATCTAACTCGGCGAAGGGCCCTGCTTCCGCGAAAGACACCCGCGTCCAATGTGAAGCCTGCAACAACGAAGGAAAAACTCGGCAAAGGGCCCTGCCTCTGGTTGTCCCTCGGTCAAACTTCAACAAAAGAAGGAAAAAGCTGGTGGGACCCTCATCCAACAGTCCTTTGTAAGGTTCATGACGCCTCAATCACCTCACCTCGGCCAAACGGATCTGTCATCCTCGAGCAGGTGGCTTCAATTGGGCCAAACAAAAAAACCCATTGGCCAAGCAAGGAAGACTCTTCAATCTTTCAGTTGCTTTCAGACGCCGTCCTAAGTTCAGCAAACACCTCACCTCGTCCAAACGGGTCTGTCATCCTCGAGCAGGTGGCTTCAATTCGACCAAACAAAAAAAACCATCGGCCAAGCAAGGCCCAGGCCTCAATCAGGGGAGCAGCTCAATAACCAACACCCATCGGCCAAGGAAGACTCTTCAATCTAGGTTGAAGAGAGGGTCTTCTTATGCTCAGTGTTGTTAGGGGGGGAATTGGGGAAAGGGTAGTTTAACGGAAGAGTTAATGGGTGGTTAAAAGTTTAGGGAAAGGTTTCAATTTGTGTTTTTTTGGTCCATCTTAAACCTTAGTGTCATATCCGAGATTCATTAAAAACCTTGGTGTCCTTTTTGGTCCTTCTCCCAATAACTTAATAAGAAAAATGTAATTTAATCTAGTTTTTTTAATTTTGGGATAAAATAAATCGGATATTCCAAACTTGCACACCTTTTACACATGCGACCTTGGTTGTAGTTTGAAAAATAACATGAATGTTAAACTTATCAGTTTGGTTTTCAAACTTGGCACATTTTAACAATTCGATGCTTCAACTTGCAGTGAAGAATTGGAGTCTAAACTTCGCTAAAACTTAATAAAGTTGTATGTTTTCATATTGCATGTAATGAATATGCTATGGCGGTTACAGATTTAATTCACACAGGTAATTGGTTCAATCGGGCATCCCATCCGGTACACAGAAATAAAAGTTGTAGATGTTGAAACAGATGAGGTCCTCCCTCATGGTTCAAAAGGCATTGTCAAAGTCAAGGGACCACAAGTCATGAAGGGCTACTACAAGGTTAGACCAACTAACCAATCAACCCATGGAGTAATGATTTTTAAACATTTTCAAGTTCCTATTAGTCTCATATTTGCCACTATTTGCAACTTTAATTCCAAATCTTTGGCTTTATCATATTGATTTTTGCAATTCCCCTGGCATGTTTAGTTTCTTTTGTATAGATCATTTGCTTCTATATTGGGAAAATAATCTTTCTGTTTGATTTGTTTATTCATTATGAGCATTTCATTCATCTCAGAATTCTATGGCTACAAAGCAAGCTATAGATGAGAACGGATGGTTAAATACAGGCGATCTTGGTTGGATTGTTCCTCATCATTCTATAGGACGATCCCGTAACGCCTCGGGTGTTATTGTTCTCGAAGGTCGTGCCAAGGACACTATAGTCCTTTCATCAGGTGATCATACTCTTCTTACTCAGTGTTTAACTACGGTCAGGATGTTGTCTTTGAACCCCACCATTTTTCATTTCCATTACTTGAACATGGATCTTTTTTCTATATTCATGAACATGCTGGTATAACCTTTGCTACTAGTAGGATAACAATTTTCTTATATTGTCTCTTTTAGTAGGAATATGGTTGTGCATGAATATCAATTGGCAAAATCATGTCAAGTCAGAACTCTACTGACATAACATCCTACTCCTACAGTTCTTGTGCACAAATAAATGTTTCAAATGGCACTTATATTTTTAGTTTGCCAATAACACAATTCTGTTATCAAATCACGAATTATTTGATCAATTTTGAATTGTGGACTGAATCAGTCTGAACTCGGAACTTTACGATGCAAATTATATTAATAGTAAAGCTGAATAACAAAATTCTTACTTAAGTTAGCACTTGAAGAAAGTGCTCTCTAGTTAGGAACTAAGTATTTAAGTTTTAGTATATCATTAAAGAAATAACAAATTTCTACCAAGTAATTTGAATCCATCAACTATTCCACTAATGAGGAAGTCCAAATTACCATCATAGCTGACTTACCTGGTTCTTCTCCATTTTTTTGTATACAATCACATTACTATTTTGTTGTAATCCTGAAATGAATCAAATTGTTTCATATGTGCCCTTGAATCACATGATTCTTCTCAGTTTTTATTAAAAGCATGCTCTCTATCATCAGAATCCTGAATGGAGTTGTGTGACACATATCATGAATCACTTGATATACAACCTTGCAAAATTCCACTTTATAATGAGAAAAATATTATTACCGTTCCTACTTTTTTCTGGTATTTATGATCTATTCATTTCTTTATAACCTTAAGACCTTAGCTATCAGCATTCCTGCTACAAAGAATTTCCATGAAGTTTATTTAACAACCAATGTATATGTGCAATGGATAGGTGAAAACATTGAACCATCTGAAATTGAAGATGCTGCAATGGGTAGCAATTTAATTCGAAATATTGTTGTCATTGGCCAGGTATGTAATAGAATTTGGTACACAAAATTGTCTTTCTACAGCACTTTTTGACATTTTCATAGTGAAAACATACCTTTTATATTGCATCACGTGTATTCCTTGACATCTGTAACAAAGGATAAACGCCGTCTTGGAGCTATTGTTGTACCACATAAGGAAGAGGTCCTTTCTGCTGCAAAAAAATTGTCTGTTGTGGATGCTGATGCCACTCAAGTTAGCAAGGAAAAAACAGCTAGCCTACTACATGACGAACTAGTTAAATGGTCAGGATACTACCTTGTTTTTTAATGAGTTTAACTAATACCAACTAAACAATATAGGCTAAAAAGTAATCCCAACTTTAGAAATTATGTATTAATAGACGCACAATTTCAATTTATACCGAAAATATAATTCCAATTCCGGTTTATTGACCAAAAATAATAGAGCATATTTTCAGATCTAGTCTTACATCTAATAATCATGGCAGCACTTGAGCCGGATTTCTTGCCTGAAAATTGATTGTTTTATTTTTGGTATATATTAAAATATTTTGGCTCAAATTTGTGATTTCTAAAGTGGATATTATGTTAGTCATTTTCCCTTTTTGCAAATCAAATTGATTGTCATATTTGTGGCTGCAACCATTGAAATAGTCATCGCACCTGATTGACATGTCGTGCTTGCTTGTTTCAACTAATCCAGGACGGCAGCTTGCATGTTTAAAGTTGGTCCTCTCCTTGTGATTGATGAGCCTTTTACGGTATGCATCATTGCCCGTCGAGCCATTCATTTCACTATACAAAGATGTAGCAATTGCTTAGGCATTTTGCTTTCTGGCTGTGCAGGTTGATAATGGTTTGTTGACTCCAACAATGAAAGTTAAGAGAGACAAAGTAACAGATCTGTATAAAGAACAAATAGACAATCTATATAATTGACTTTCCCCAAACGTATTTCCAAGTGTTCTTCCTCCAAAAACAGAGAATGATGTAATGTTGTTTTCAGTACTAGAAAATTTACTCTTTTTTAGTCAGATGTAATAATTAAACTTTTTTTAGTTGTATAGGCATTTAACGATTCTAGGTACCTATTAGGGAGTTGACTACACATAACACACATAAACCATTGAGGAGCACTGGTGGTAGGTGTAGAGAAGGGGTTGGACACTTGGACACAGTCCTACCAGTGGACTGCCGGTTCTGCTCCTCCATTTGATATGATTAGATCAGAACCTTAAATAGCATGCTCCTGATCTTAGCCATTGGGACTAGTAGTCATAATATATCCTAACACCTTGTTCTAGTTCTCCGTTTGACAAAACCAGACTAGGACCTTATGTAACATTATTACTGGGTTTGATCCAATCACGATTGATCAAAGCTGGAACTTTTTGAATCAGCTTTTGTTCCTGAACATCAATTATTCGTATTTGTTTTCTGCCTTGTTTCTTGTTCTTGGATAGTTGGATTATTCAACTCAATAGCCTTAAAGTGAACCTTTTTTTACTATAAAAATCTGGATTGAAGAGATTGATGAGCAAATCATCAATTGGATGAAAAAAAGCTTAAAATCCTGTCACTGCGATCCATCAGCCAGATTCGCCATCAGCACCTCTGAACCTTTTTTTACACAACAGTTAAAAAACAACTCCTTTTCGTTTTTTCTCTTGGTTCATACGTTCCAATCTGTTTTACACACACGGCGGTCTCCAGAACCCTCCCATGTAGATAAATTTTATTTGTCAAGTTAGGTAATAAACAAAAGATAGGAATATTTGTGTAACTGTGTAAGAAAGTTTAATGTCATAAATAAGAAAGGGAATATTTCTCTTGGTGCACCTTTATTTCTACTAAATGTAAAGGTACACCTAAACCCCAAACCCGAAACCCGAAACCCGAAACCTGAAACCCGAAACCCGAAACCCCAAACCCGAAACCCCAAACCCCAAACCCGAAACACCAAAACTGAAACTCCAGACCGTAAACCCTAAACCCTAAACCCTAACCCCTAACCCCTAACCCCTAACCCCTAAACCCTAACCCCTAACCCCTAACCCCTAACCCCTAACCCCTAACCCCCTAACCCTAAACCCTAAACCCTAAACCCTAAACCCTAAACCCTAACCCCTAACCCCTAACCCCTAACCCCTAACCCTAACCCCTAACCCCTAAACCCTAACCCTAAACCCCAACCCCCAACCCCGAACCTTGAACCCTGAACCCCGAACCCCGAACCCCGAACCCGAAACCCGAAACCTGTAACCCGTAACCCGTAACCCGTAACCCGTAAACACGTAAACCCGTAAACCCGTAAACAGTAAAACCGTAAAACCCTAAACTCTAAACCCCAAACCCCAAACCCCCATCCCGAACCCCAAACCCGAACCCCAAACCCGAAACCCGAACCACAACCGGAACCCGAACCCGAACCAGAAACCCCAAACCCGAAACCCGAAACCCGAAACCCGAAACCCGAAACCCGTAAACCCGTAAACCCGTAAACCCGTAAACCCTAAACCCTAAACCCTAAACCCTAAACCCCAAATCCGAAACCCGAAACCCGAAACCCCAAACCCGAAACCCCAAACCCCAAACCCGAAACCAGAAAACCGAAAACCGAAACCTGAAACCCGAAACCTGAAACTAGAAACCCGAAACCCGAAACCCGAAACCCGTAACCCGTAACCCGTAACCCGTAAACCCGTAAACCCGTAAACCCCGAACCCCGAACCCCGAACCCCGAACCCCGAACCCCGAACCCCGAACCCCGACCCCGATCCCCGAACCCCGAACCCCGAACCCCGAACCCGAACCCGGAACCCGGAACCCGGACCCGAACCCGAACCCGAACCCGAAACCCGAAACCCAAAACCCGAAACCCGAAACTCGTAAACTCGTAAACCCTAAACCCTAAACCCTAAACCCCAAACCCCAAACCCCAAACCCGAAACCCCAAACCCGAAACCCGAAACCCGAAACCCGTAACCCGTAACCCGTAAACCCGTAAACCCGTAAACCCTAAACCCTAAACCCTAAACCCCAAACCCCAAACCCCAAACCCGAAACCCGAAACCTGAAACCCGTAACCCGTAACCCGTAAACCCGGAAACCCGTAAACCCTAAACCCTAAACCCCAAACCCCAAACCCCAAACCCCAAACACCAAACCCCAAACCCCAAACCCCAAACCCGAAACCCGAAACCCGAAACCCGAAACCCGAAACCCGAAACCCGAAAGTCGTAACTTCAAACCCGAAAACCGAAACACGAAACACCAAACCCGAAACACGAAACCCGAAACCCGAAACCCGAACCCGTAAACCTGTAAACCCGTAACCCGTAAACCCTTAAACCCTAAACCCTAAACCCTAAACCGTAAACCTTAAACCCTAAACCCTAAACCCTAAACCCTAAACCCTAAACCCTAAACCCAAACACCAAACCCCAAACCCGAAACCCGAAACCCGAAACCCGAAACCTTAAACCCTAAACCCTAAACCATAAACCCTAAACCCTAAACCCCAAACTCCAAACCACAAACCCCAAACCCCAAAGCCCAACCCCGAACCCCCAACCCCGAACCCCGAACCCGAAACCCGTAACCCGTAACCCGTAACCTGTAACCCGTAACCTGTAACCCGTAAACACGTAAACACGTAAACCCGTAAACCCGTAAACCCGTAAACAGTAAAACCGTAAAACCCTAAACTCTAAACCCCAAACCCCAAACCCCAAACCCCCATCCCGAACCCCAAACCCGAACTCCAAACCCGAACCCCAAACCCGAAACCTGAACCACAACCAGAACCCGAACCCGAACCCGAAATCCGAAACCCGAAACCCGAAACCCGTAAACCCGTAAACCCGTAAACCCTAAACCCTAAACCCTAAATCTGAAACCCGAAACCCGAAACCCGAAACCCCAAACCCCAAACCCGAAACCAGAAAACCGAAAACCGAAACCCGAAACCCGAAACCAGAAACCCGAAACCCGAAACCCGAAACCCGAAACCCGTAACCCGTATCCCGTAACCCGTAAACCCGTAAACCCCGAACCCCGAACCCCGAACCCCGAACCCCAAACCCCGAACCCCGACCCGAACCCCGAACCCCGAACCCCGAAGCCCGAACCCGAACACGAACCCGGAACCCGGAACCCGGAACCGTACCCCACCCGAACCCGAACCCGAACCCGAACCCGAACCCAAAACCCGAAACCCCAAACCCGAAACCTGAAACCCGCGTAACCCGTAACCCGTAACCCGTAAACCTGTAAACCCGGAAACCCGTAAACCCTAAACCCTAAACCCCAAACCCCAAACCCCAAACCCCAAACCCCAAACCTCAAACCCGAAACCCGAAACCCGAAACCCGAAACCCGAAACCCGAAACCCGTAAACTCTAAACCCTAAACCCCAATCCCCAAACCCCAAACCCCAAACCCCAAACCCCAAACCCAACCCCCAAACACCAAACCCCAAACTCCAAACCCCAAACGCCAAACCCCAAACCCCAAACCCCAAACCCGAAACCCGAAACCCGATACCTGAAACCCGAAAGTCGAAACCCAAAACCCGAAAACCGAAACACGAAACACCAAACCCGAAACCCAAAACCCGAAACCTGAAACCCTAAACCCGTAAACCCGTAAACCCGTAACCCGCAAACCCTTAAACCCTAAACATTAAACCCTAAACCGTAAACCTAAAACCCTAAACCCTAAACCCTAAACCCTAAACCCAAACCCCAAACCCCGAACCCGAAACCCGAAACCCTAAACCCTAAACCATAAACCCTAAACCCTAAACCCCAAACTCCAAACCCCAAACCCCAAACCCCAAAGCCCAACCCCGAACCCCCAACCCCGAACCCCTATTCCCGAACCCCGAACCCCGAACCCCGAACCCCGAACCCCCGTAACCCGTAACCCGTAAACCCGTAAACCCGTAAACCATAAACCCTAAACCCGTAAACCCTAAACTCTAAACCCCAAACCCCAAACCCGAACCCGAACCCCAAACCCGAACCCCAAACCCGAACTCTAACCGGAACCCGAACCCGAACCCGAATCCGAAACCCGAAACCCGAAACCCGAAACCCGAAAACCGAAACTCGAAACCCGAAACCCCAAACCCCAAACCCCAAACCCCAAACCCGAACCCGAACCCCAAACCCGAACCCCAAACCCGAACCCTAACCGGAACCCGAACCCGAACCTGAACCCGAACCCGAACCCGAAACCCGAAACCCGAAACCCGAAACCCGAAACCCGAAACCTGAAAACCGAAACCCGAAACCCGAAACCCGAAACCCCAAACCCCAAACCCCAAACCCCAAACCCTAAACCCTAAACCCCAAACTCCGAAACCCGAAACCCGAAACCCGAAACCCGAAACCCTAAACCCTAAACCCTAAACCCTAAACCCTAAACCCCAAACCCCAAACCCCAAACCCCAAACCGCAAAGCCCAACCCCGAACCCCCAACCCCGAACCCCTAACCCCGAACCCCGAACCCCGAACCCCGAACCCCAAACCCCGAACCCCGAACCCCGAACCCCGTAACCCGTAACCCGTAAACCCGTAAACCCGTAAACCGTAAACCCTAAACCCGTAAACCCTAAACCCAATCCCCAAACCCCAAACCCCAAACCCCAAACCCCAAACCCCAAATACCAAACCCCAAACCCCAAACCCCAAACCCGAAACCCGAAACCCGAAACCTGAAACCCGAAACCCGAAACCCGAAAGTCGAAACCCGAAACCCGAAAACCGAAACACGAAACACCAAACCCGAAACCCGAAACCCGAAACCCGTAAACACGTAAACCCGTAACCCGTAAACCCATAAACCCTAAACCCTAAACCCTAAACCGTAAACCTTAAACCCTAAACCCTAAACCCTAAACCCTAAACCCTAAACCAAAACCCCAAACCCGAAACCCGAAACCCGAAACCCGAAACCCGAAATCCTAAACCCTAAACCATAAACCCTAAACCCTAAACCCCAAACTCCAAACCCCAAACCCCAAAGCCCAACCCCGAACCCCCAACCCCGAACCCCTAACCCCGAACCCCGAACCCCGAACCCCGAACCCCGAACCCCAAACCCCGAACCCCATAACCCGTAACCCGTAACCCTTAAACCCGTAAACCCGTAAACCGTAAACCCTAAACCCGTAAACCCTAAACTCTAAACCCCAAACCCCAAACCCCAAACCCCAAACCCGAACCCGAACCCCAAACCCGAACCCGAACCCGAATCTGAAACCCGAAAACCGAAACCCGAAACCGGAAACCCGAAAACCGAAACTCGAAACCCGAAACCCGAAACCCCAAACCCCAAACCCGAACCCGAACCCCAAACCCGAACCCCAAACCCGAACCCTAACCGGAACCTGAACCTGAACCCGAATCCAAACCCGAATCCGAAACCCGAAACCCGAAACC